ACTCCTCCTCCTCCTCCTAAACGTTGACTGCCTTGTGCAGTTGTTATTGAGACAATAAAATGAGAATGAAAGTGGTGGTTTGGGTGAAAGTGAGATGCAGGCATTGTTAATGTGGCAATTTCTAGTGAACAAGAAGCAGGTTTAAGGAGCCTCATAAAGAAATGGACAAGCAACGACCATTTCTGACTTACCAGGTAAACTCAATGCATGCTGCCTGAAACAATGAAAATTACGTTTTAGTAAAACAACATAACATGCCGTTGGAAATTTCTAAGCGCAACTAACGTTGTAAAACCCATATCTTACCACTTCGTTTCACAGGTGTCTAGTAGGCCCCCACATTTGCCCATAAAAGTTGCATGGATGTCCGTGTTAATGCTTACATACTACCTCTATCATTTTACTTAAGCTAGTAACAATTGCCACAGTGTGTTTGTCTTTGTGCAGATGTTTTTGTTGGAAAAACGACGGTGCGCCTTGTTGTTTGCCAAACGTTTAGAAGACTCGGTCTAAATCCCACGACCGTCCAAGTTTAAACAGGCCTGTTAGGTTAGTGTGGTTTGCCTACGTAACAATTGCGCGTCTGCCATTAATTGCAGTAGAGTCAGTAGGAGCCATGGACTGTCGCCAGCTTAATTCATTAATCCTAGTTTTCCGACCAACTCGTAACTTTTAATGAGAAAACACCTCTTCGACTATCCAGGTGCCTTTCACAGTAGCCAGATGAAGCAGCCATGATGTTATTCTCAAGGTCTTTGATTCGGTCCATTAATGTCTAGAACTGTGTATTCACCGGTTTTCTACCTTGCATTATTTTTAAGACCAACATAAAACACAATTATTTTGAATGTTGTAGTGCTTAGCCGAGCACATTAATTCTCCCTCAAATGCTGAATGAACCGGTTGATTTCCCCAGTTTTCTTCGCTGGGGAACATTGCAAATTTAAGACGAAATGCGTCATTTGACTTTCCTCACCTTTACAATCGAGCACATGGGAAGTTTCTCTGTGTTTTTTGCAACATAATATCGTATTAGGCAGAGCCTCAGTCCCCTCTGAACAACTCCTACCGTGTACACTACAGGCGTCTCTTTTGTCAACACAAAACCGTGTGCTGTGTGTAACAACAGTTTTGCTACTTCGTGTATTATGCCCCTTTGAACGTTACATTTTACAGTAAGCATAGACAACAGCAAGGCCCACTTACACAAATGCCCCTACGCATTAAGACAATTGCAACAATCAACAGCTCTGCTAACACAACTCAAGCGACGAAGCCTTCTAGAGTTTGCATTCTGGTAATTTCAAGAATAGGCCCGACACTAATATACTTATGTCAATTGACGAGACAAATAAGCAGGGATAGCAGTAGTCGTCTCAAGGTTGCAGGCATTGGAGTAGCCAGCATAATTATGTACCTCTCGATTTTGTCTAATGGTTTTATTATCGGTGTTTGAAACAACGAGTCGTAATAAAACCGATTTAATGGCAATAACATAGTTATTAACTGTGTTGTGTACGCTGGTTAATTCCATTAGGAAATGTTTTTCGTCAAAACGAAATTTTGACATGAATTTAAGGCAAATAAATGCTTTTAGGAGTTTACAATCTTGACAGGCATTTGACACTACACCAAAGTTCGAAAATTGATTCCGATCTTGGTCAAATCAGATCACATTTCGGCACTATTAGCAACCCTTACATTATATGCTTTCGCCACATCGAAGTAATTGAACACTAAGCGATTTGTGCACTGCCTTCTAACTGGTGGTCAGTTTGCAACATCAAAGGATTTGCCTGACCTTAACTTCGCTTTCTTTCTCACAAGTTCACTGGTCTAAAGGCGCCTTTTCCATCTCAGAGTGATCTTATAACGAGAGGTTTTGAAAGAGTGTATGCCCATTTAGTCCAGTTGGAAAGTTTAAGGGTCTTTGTTCCTAGATTACATTTCTAAAGCTTGCACAATCAGGGGCCCTGAGGCGGCATCCAATCGCGTAAAAGTATTCGAAGCCACTGCCGAAATGTGGTTCAATCCTCGCACCACACTTCGGTACAAACATCTGAATGAGGATAGCTTGAGGAAAAATGATGAACTTGGAGACAAATCACGATGCGCCAGCCTTTGGCATGCTGAGGATGCGACCATTTGCCGTCCTCAAGTGTTGCTGTGACAAACTGACTTTACTGTCAGCGTCACGTGTCGAAGACAATTTAGTGAATTACCAAGATTACTTTGACTATTAATGGGGTAGATTACGTTCGTACGTACGCATCTGGCTGAAGGGTGCTTGGATATTGATAATGAATGGCCACAGCAAATAGTAAATTTCAAAAAATTCAACATTTGACTTATGAGAATTTCTCATAATTTCGGATAATTTGTTATTTTCACAAAACCGATTTCTCACCAGGCCTTAAAATGTTGATCAAATTGTGAGAAACCAACGATTGTACAACATCACCCAAACTCACATAATTTATTGTTAATAACAGATTAAATTAGGAGGCGCGCAGCATTCACCGAGGTATCACGGTGTGTCACCACCGCCGACTTGAAACTCAAAAGTGCCTTGATGTTTAAGAGGACTCATAAGGCTGACTCAAAGTCACGGATAAGGGGAACTCCTGAAACTATGCGTACAGTTGCGTATGTAGTGAATCGTGTTGATTCACGTCCAATAACCCTGTCCTCGCAGCTTCCAGCACACGTCCCCTCTTTTCACGTGGGACCGCTGGCTCATTAGCCCTCTGAATGTACCACCACCTCCCGCTTTGGCCATGTGACCTCACAAACGCCTGCGTTCATTTCTACATGTCCACTCAGCTGTAAGAGTACGCGACACAACTTGGTTGAGCGGTCTAGTAAATGGTTGTGCCTTCTCCACTCCGGTCTTCTTTATTTTCGCGGGAGCACAGGGCAACTTATTAGGCCTAGATAATCGCAGTGGCCCCGGCGTGGCTCAAGACAACATGCCGAGGCCCTCAACACGTACATTGTGACTGTGATGTGCATTAATCTGCATAGACTGGTTTTCCTACGGCAAATACATTGCAGATTCCGTGTCCCGTGTGGACTAACAAGCATTTGAAATGGCCTTGTGGAAATTTTATTTGCAACACATTTGTCTACATGCAGCATATTTTGGTAAAAAGTAAGTCTGTTCATATCATCATCCTAATTCAAACGGTCGGCATATAACAAGACCAAATCATTGGGTAGAAATTCAATTCAAAAATCGTTTGATTTGCTTAATTGGAGGCATTCAGGAAAAGCAAACGAAAACATGTCCGCAGATTATGGCAACGGTTGATTTGATTTAAAAAAAGAGCGTAAGAATTTAAGACGTCGCAGTCTGCTTTTTGATCACTCAAGCTAAACAAAACATTGATTATCCGAGCCTCACTTACAAAGACACCAATTTGGCTGGTGGTGACCAAACAAATTGCCACTCAGAATGTTGGTATGTTTTCTGTTTAAGTGTACTCGAAAGTAAGCCTTTCACGAGGGTAAATAGAAGGAACAGTTTAACATTGTACTTTGGGGTAAATGTTTGCTCTATTTCAACTAACATGTCACCTAAGGTGACTGCGTTTAGGTGGAGTACCCTATTTAAATATTCTAGAGCAGTTAGCGAAATGCGATTCTAGCACCCTGTCAATTGTGCCTCTAGCGAGCGTTAACACTGACAAAGCCGTATAAGCTCGAGGACTAACTAGAATTAATTTTTTTTAAAATCATTCTCACCTGCGCAATAAATCAAGGGTAAAAATTATGCTTTAAACATGGCTATGCAAAAAGAGCCATCGTCTTGGTGATTTTCAAATTCTGGCGATGTGCAGGCGACCAAATCTGCTCATCATACCTAACAATTTTAAAAAGAACTAATTTGCGAATCTCTTCAAGCAGTCAAACGTGGCTTCTTGACCAGTAAGACCTCGATATCGTATGATTCGTGCTGAAGAATCGTTTGGCTGAAAGGCAGTAATTGAACACGTTGCGGAAACACCTACCTGACCTCCTCGCACTCAATCAGTCGTCGATACGATGCTATTTCCAACTCTAATCCCATTTTGGAATCAAGCAGGGCTTCAAAATCAATACGCAGACGCTGTAGCTCCGCCTGACAAGCGCTTAATTCAGTTGTTAAGCACTCCTTCGCATGCTCCCCGTCCTTCTGGCGCTCCTGACTCACGGCCCTCAGCTCACGCAGCGTCAGCTCCAAATGGGCATTCTGAAATACGAGAAGCATTCAGTGACGACTTTGAAGGAAAATAAATTATCCAAGGACAAATGTCACGAACACTGTGGAATAGTTTTGCTACATTTTAGTGGCCAGTGTTGATTCGCGTCCACCAATCCGGTTGCCGCATTCTCCGCCACCTTGACCTCAGTTCTTGGCGTCTGCTCATTCACCTCTGTGCGGATATCTCCCCACCCCCACGCTACTCATTTCGTTCAGCGGGCCATTCAGGCGTTTGTCCTTTTACAGGTTCATGCAGACTGTATTGATCGACAACCCCCATTATCAGACACGACTTTTGAGACATCGATTAAACGCTCCTCTCCCTTTTATCCTATTTCTGCCTTGGGTACTTTGTGTTGTATCGTCAAGTTTACCTTAGCCTCCAATGAGATTCTGAATTTCGTCCCAAAGAACTGTCGTACCAAAAATCCACGTTCTAAGGAGAACCATCACACAACCCACCGCCTCTTCGAGCGTGCTTATCTTCCTGCGCTGATCCATGACCAGGTTGCGGAGGCGGCCGTTCTCCTCCCTGTAGTGCTCCCTGTCGCGTCCCCCGCTGACCTGGGCGTGGCGCAGGACCTGCGCCTTTATCTCGTAGGCCGAGTGGATGTCGGCCTTGGCAGCCTCCAGACGTTGCTCGTATTCCGCCTGGATCTCGCGCAGAACCTGCATGATTTCTGTCCGAAATAAGGCTATCGCCTCCTGTGTCGACTCCCGTTGCACCAACGCCGACAATTCCCGCAGTTCCTGGGGATTTTTGATGATTAAAAGAGCTATTACACTAGGTCTATAGTCCAATCATACAGTAATGATCTAAGACAATGCTAACGCAGATAATTGTTGCAGTCTTTCTCGCTCGCCAATTCGCGATGGCCTTTTAAAGCATTGACTGGCTGCAACTGCACGAGCACTCAACTTTTTCATGCCGGTGTCGTACCAAGAAAGAAGACGCTTGTTATTTGCCGTCTCTATTAGCATAACCTGCGTAATCTCGCTCGCCTTTTCATCACAGTTCGTGTCATGCTTACAGATGACTTGCCAAGTCACTCAACCACCTGTGCAATATTGGTGTGTCTTGAAACAAGGATTAATTTGGGGAGTGATGCAATGTCATGAAGTCAGCAGCGATTGGTCAGGTTTGCCTGCGAGAAATCAGACGGTGTGAAAACAGGCCGGTTCCTGAGTGCAGACACACACGGAACGCTGGTGACCCGCGTTGTTTACACAAACGCCGAGCAGGTTTAGACAGGATACTTGTACAAGCCCTGTACACACTGCTGGTGTCGTCCGCGTAAACTTGCTTACCAGCTCTGGGAAAGAATGCTAAGTCTAAAACTACTGCTTTTCGGGTTAACCTTCAAAAGCACCAATAGCACAACACAGAGAAAGTTGAGACGTACGTTTGGCCATAGCGGCCAGCAAGGAGTATGCGCTATTGTAAATTTGAGTTGAGCCAAATCCGAAGGTAACTAACGGCATTTATTTGAACTAAGGAAGTTACGAGAGAGGGTGTCCTTGAGCTAACTTTGTTGACTTTCAATGATCTCCATTGTGCGGGCCTACTGCTGAGGGATTAGCGGATGAACGTTTATTTGAAACCGATTTATTTTTCTGGACTCTGATGCATATACCTTACTTTCACATATTCTGACCTTTTAGAGCGATGCAGCTTTCTTATACTCTTAGCTAAAGTATAAAATATTGAACTGCAATATGCGCCCGCATAGTTCAGCACTTCCCCTCGATAGATTCACTGTATACTAATATTGTCAAACACTAACAAAGGACTTTATCAAGCAAACTCACCGCGTCTTGAACCTTTTTCCGATGTTCCAGTTCCTCCTTAAGTACTTTGGCGTCAGTTTCGGCTGCGTGTCGCGCAACGGATAGTCTGTCGTTTTCCTTAAATAGATAAATAACGGTACTGTTACTAAATAATGTAAGTACACGATTTTCTTTATCACGAAAATAACGTACAATGCAGGCTTCCTTCAGTTGTTCTTGCAGACGTTGGAATTCACGCACCTCTTTGGCCCTTTCTTCCGCCATTGCAGTACACCGCTGCTGAGCTTCTTGGACCTCATCTTCAGCAGCCTGAAGCTGTTCGCTAAGGCGTTTCAAGCGTTCTTGATCGCAGGCAAGCTGGTTCTCTTTTGTTTTTAGTCTATTTAATAGGAGTATGAAAAGTTGTGATGGCTTAACATTCATTGAATATTATGGGGCATGCTGAGTCTTGTCTAGACGAAGGTACAACAAATATGGTCAGCAGCCTCGCTGTCAACTTGATTCAAAGTCCCTAAATACCCGTGTACAAGATTCGCATCATTCTCCTATCCTCAGTATTTTAATAACTATTCTCTCTATTACACACAAAAATCACTTGAAAAGATCCGTTTTCTGCTATCAGGTGACCAAGTACTGCAGAAATCAAAGCAATTGATGGAAGGAAGGTAAAAAACAGAAAACATTTAAGGCTTAGATCACGAAGAAAATTTCGGTCCTTGTGGCCTTGCTAAATGCTGGTGAACGTGTTGCAGAAATTATCCACGGACAAAAGTCACGAACACTGTGGACTAGTTTTGCTACATTTTAGTGGCCAGGGTTGATTCGCGTCCACCAATCCCGTTGCCGCATTCTCCGCCACATTGACCTCAGTTCATGGCGTCTGCTCATTTACCCCTGTGCGTGTACCTCTCCACCCCCTACGCTACTCGTTTGTCCTTTTACAGGTTCATACAAACTGTATTGATAGACAACCCCCATTATCAGACGCGACTTTTGAGACATCGATTAAGCAGTCCTCTCTCTTCTGTCCCATTTCTGCCTTGGGTACTTTGTGTTGTATTGTGCTGCTTCATGGAACGTCGAATCTGCTACAGCCTCCAATGAGGTTTTGGGTTTCGTCCCAAAGAATTGTCGCACCGAAAACATTTAAGGCTTAGATCGCGAAGAAAATTGGGGTCCTTGTGGCCTTGGTAAATGCCGGCGGACGTGTAACCACACTCACGCTTTTTGCAGTTCGCTGAGTTCAGCCTCGGTGCGTTTTGACCGAATCTCGCACTCCGCGCGGCGCTCCTCGGCCGCCGCGAGGCTCCCACGCAGTTGCTCGAGGTCGGCGTTGTAGACGCCCCGGAGGCGGTTGATGTCGTCGGAGTAATTCGCGCGCAGACTCGACGCCTCCTTCGCCAGACTCCTGTTCTGCGCCTCCAGCAAACGCACCTACAGTCGCAAGTTAAAGATTAGCACAACGCTCTTGTCAAACTCAGTATTGCCGCTAGCGAAGAAGTCGCCGATTATCCTCTAACAAAACTTCGGTGTAGAAAGTAATGTTTTTTCAAAATGATTTCGTAGGCTTCGAGATTTGAGGCTTTGATGTGCTACAGGTTAAAAGTAGGCTGTGGAACAGAATCCATTCAGACAATTAAGTAAAATCCTAGTAAATATAACTGGACTACGCTGTAAAACAACATCGGAACTGCAATTTTTGTAGTAAATAAGGCAGTACAAACTCAAGCATTGCGTGCTTAGAATCGGTGACGGAACAACTCCAAAGAGTAACACTGAAATGAATTAAATGATTCGCCAGCTTCATCTGACTTGACCACATCTAATCCAGTCAATTTCAAGATGTAAGATACTGAACTTTTAACGGTTTATTACTGGGCTCAGAATGCACCTTTATGAGAGGTTAGATTAAGCAAAGCAACTGGTTGGTGATCAATTTTCCATTTTTCAAAATGACAACAAAATTCAGCAAGTGTTCCAGAAAAGAGGCAAACACTTTCGGACATTCAGAATTCCCGATGGCTGAGTCCATTTTAATGTCTCGAAATCGAAGCTGAATGTTCTTCAATACGTTATTTCTTGAGCAATTTTCGAAATCAAGTTGGAGACTGCCACCGAAAGCACTAAAGACTGATTGCAAAATCAGGATGAATTGATGCTGAAGGCTCAAAACCCCGTCAGAGGTCCGCATTTCACCAAAACTGAGGCCAGCGCTTCGCACCCACTCTTTCCTTTGTGTTATTGTTAAAGCATCAAAACATTTTTAAAATTAGACGAATTGGCAGTGGAGAATGTGGGGCAAAGATTTTTTTCACGACAGCACCCTTAAAATGCACGATTTGCACTATGGCTCTGTAGATAGAAGACCCTTAAAATATGTTTAATGCCAATTGTCTTGGTGGATGCGAGCAAAATCAACGTAGTTTGTGGACCTTTCAACATTATGAATTGGGATCTTTCATCTTTAGACGACAGAAGACAATCTCCTTTTCACTTATTTAGTAAAATGCCGTGTTTCGAAAGAAGTAAAGACTACAGAGGCCGCCATTGTGTAATAGACTCATTTAAATCGCCTGAATGAAACTGCTCCTTGCGATGCTCTCGACGCAGTCCCTAAGTCCTTCGTTAAGTAAGGCCTCTTAATGAAGTCTACAGTGAATTAACTAAGCAGTCGATGCTAATAATCCTCGGTTCAATTTAACTTTTTAGGTGTACGGTAATTTAAGCCATTTCTGTAGCCATAGTGAATGGGGGATAGAATTTAGCTTAATTATCAAAAATCGAGTAAATGCCACACGGCTTGTGCGGTATTATTGCTCAACTTGCCGGGAATTTCCACTAACAGAAACACAACTGTTAGAAGACTGCGATGAAACTTCAAACGTTCAAATGCTGCGAGCTCGACGCACCCACAACTCTTGACAGGATGTATTGGCAAAATATAAACCCCAACTTAATGCAGAAGGTGTTTGTTGCCACTTCATATCTTTGGAAAAATGTCTTTTCGGTGTTGATCACAAAAATATAATCTCGTCAAAGTTGAGGAACCAACTTTGCGGTAGAAGCATTTTCGTCAGTATCAACGGGATTTAAGTGCAACTTGCGTTTAAAAAAGCTAACAGTTCCCGAGAGAGTGACAGCATCTTGTGGAGAGCAAAATGATCTGCTGTGGTGGGCAGTTCGATTAGGATAAAATCGGTTGCCTCATCAAAGCGCGGATTTGGCTTTTGGCCACAGCATATTGATAGATTAGAAAAGCCATCTCTACAGGAGCCCAAATACACAGAGTCTCTGACATCTTTTGGACAACAAGGCGGTGAGTGGGTCACTTCATCTACACGCCTGGTCTCGTATCTGATCTTCCATCTAAGATCTAGGATGGTGGGAGCAGCTTTTCGACTCTAGACGCTGCAGATAACGGAACAGCGGTGTCCATTTCCCTCAAAAGCAAAATTTCTTTATTTTTCAAGGTAAATCAACAGCGGTAAAACGAACTCCCACTTTCCAACAAGATCTCCACCACCTTTTTGTTTTCAATTTTTACCAAAAACATAATTTACGTCAATTAAAGAGCACCCGTGTAAAGAACTGTCATTAGTTTACCTTCTTAACTAATGCAAACGCTTCTTGTCCAGAATGAATGAACAACGGAATCGGAGAAATTATCATGGCTTGGTTTGAATGCTGTTTACAAAGAGTTGTGTAATGATTGACACGGGAGTTTTACTTCGGAAGAAGTTATCGATAAACTTTTAATGCTTAGTAAAGTTGTGCAAATTCCTGCACTCAATTAATCCACCTTTTAACGAGCGTATTTAGAACAAGCACAAAAGACATGATGTGGAATCAACCATGAGAGACAGTAAATTAAAAAAAGCATTTTCAAGATCCGAACATATTCCACAACACAAACATTCGAGCCTCAGACGAATAATCTTCGACCAAACTGACAATCGACTTCAGGGTTCATGACTCACGTACTGCCATCTTACTCTGTATAGCCACCCTGGCGATTCTCCCAGCTTGTCTGTTTGTTTTTAATGGTTAAATGATCATTTGCCTGTACAGTGTAGTAAACCAAGTTAGTTCACGTCCAGCATTTTTGTCACCCCATAATTCCCTTCTTCCAGCTTCCTAAGTTTTTATTTCATTTACCCCATCTTAGTATGCGGGCATCTCTGAACACGAATACGCGTGCGCCTATCCCCTTCCGGTGTGCTCGACCCTAGATTCAACATTGAAACCGGGTAAAGCCACTTGGTGAGCTGTGGTTTCCGTGGTCTCTGTTTTTTCTAGTCTTTCTGAGTACCTGGGTAGCATTAGTGACCCTCGACGAGTGGCAACCCCTGTCTGGGCTTCGACAAAAGGTGAGCCCGGTGTAGCCCGGTACGTCAATTGGAGAGTCGACTCCGATGACGCCAAATCAAGACATCCTAGAAAAACTTTGTTCATGAACAGACGGTAAATAAACTGGTTGTAAATCATTCAAGCCTTTATCAAAAGCCACTTGAATTAATCAGCCACATCATAATTTTTATTTGAATCACGGAACTGAGGACATGTTGAAAACATTTGAGATTTGTCTAATGCACTCGGAAAAACCCTTGATTAAGCCTCAAATTAGTTGTAAATATCTATCATTACCAACTTACTCTCTCAATGAAACTTGAAAGTCGGTCATTAAGTCTCTGAAGTTCGAATTTTTCCCTAGTTCTGGCTTGAATGACGTCCCCAACATCAAGTGTTTGTAGGGCGTTGCTCACTTTCGCGGCCGCCGGCTCTACAGTCTCCGACTCGCCTTGATTCGTCTTTCCAGGATACCTCGTAACCACAACTGACTGGCTCGTGGTGAAACAACTCGTTTCCACCTCCTCCTCCTCTTCTTCTTCGGCAACCCGATTTGCTCGTGGCGCTGCTGTGTCCGATCCCCCAACTGAGGTTATGTGCAGTCCACTTGGCACTCGATGAGGTGTCCGATGCAGCGAGTTACAGCGAGGCCTTTCGCAATCACCTGAACCTCCCTTAACCATGAAGACACGCCAAATGACTGCTGCCTCTCGCTGTTTGATGATACGAAACTGCGCAGTACCTTGTTCACGCGATCCGCTAGGGTCATGTTCGTAGCGCGATTACAAGGTGTAGACTACGCTTACCAATTCGAGTCTGACCGATCGATTCACTAAAGCCTTCTATAACTGCGAATGTGCCCTATAATGCGGCCTTAATGGTCACTTCTGTGTTTTTAAGCAGACTCCAATTCATTTAATGGTCTAGAATCCATCCTGGGATGTATGCTTGTGGAAAATTGAACGCCAAACGTTAGGGTTAAGCGATTTAATGAAGCTTCAAACGAGAACATAACTCGTTACCTTGACTTGGTATATTTTGCAGGAACATTACAAAATAATTGATAGAATGGAATCGAAATAAGCGCGCTTGTGTGCATCTAAAGGAAGTCAATACGTAGAGTTCTGAACCAAGTTTTGTACCTTAATTAATGCATCTGCAATGTCGGTTAAATTGGGGGTGGGTGCGGCAGAAACTTGAATCAACGTTTCACGTAAGCGCATACGTTTCCAATTGCAAAGATTTCATGTTTTCCCAAGTTTGATCATTTCACCTAACAGACAATCTTGTCACTTTCTACAAGAATCTGACCAAAATCGTAGGGCTGGTGTTGGGAAGAAGAAGCCAGGTTAAAACTACTAGCATGGTGGCAAGGCACATTGTACTGATAAAGAGCAAGCAGACTATGTAGTACTATATTCTATACTTGATTACACTACAAACTAGGATATAGTCAAATTGACAGACGTAATTCGAACATCTCTCGCGGCCTTATCACATTAACATCAGAAAGGTTTGGACTTTTAACAATCTGTTTGCTGACTACTACAATTGGCATCAGCAAATTGAAGCCATCCTCGTCGCAGTGGGGTAAATTCTTGGAGTTTCAAGTAACACCTGCTACCTAACATTGTTATGTAATCGGTTTTCTTTCATCCAGCTAAACTATCATGCCTCCTCCTTCATTGTTTAATCCTAAAATTGGGCTTCAGGTGTGCCTGAATTCGTCACATTCAAAAATACGCCTTTCGTCAAACTCATCAACTCCCTTTCACTTTTTGCGGTCTGAATACGCGGCTCTTCTGCTACTTCTCTTTTTAGTTATGCATACCTGATCGCATATCGATTTAACACGTCTGAGAGTACTCTGTCTCTGGACAGGAGGTTTACCTAACTATCTAAAAAAACTGTGGAGGATGATAACTAAAATGTTGTCACATTTAGCCATTTTCGTTTTATATCGGAATATGAAATTTGATACTCAAACAATTATGTTCTTATTTAAAAATAATTCCTTCTAACCCGTGCAAGTATTCTTTTGTCAGGTGACACAACGAAATGGTAATTATCGAACCATGCAGGCATGAATGTCGTGGTTTTAAGGGCCTTCAGACTACTAAAACACACAACATTTACCGAATACTGTGCATTAAAGTAAGCTAAATAAGTGTGAAGAAGAAATCACCGACCTAGTATTTCCCGGTGAAAAAAAATGAAGCCATGCGGTAATGAGAACAGACGATACTCCATTTGCTCATAGAAGGTTGAGGAGGTAAGTTTAAATAGGGAGCAATTTAATTCAGCCCATTAAGTAAATACAATGCTAAAATTTTCGAATCAATAGTATTTTGTAGATATAGATATTTACGGTATCAAAAATATTTGTACAATGACGTTCGTGGTCTGCATATCATTAGTTTACTAAGTCATTTGGTGAGAAAATGCAGAAAATTCTATCAGCAAATTTTCGTAAACAAAGAGTAAGATAAAATCTGATGCCAGTTCTAATTTTGCTGAAAAGTCTTATGAATTCAGCCCGAGTTCAGACAAAAACCTGGAGTTTTAAGCCATCAAGAAAAAATGAGCAATTAGGGAATCCCGGATGCAAATTCCAAAGTAAAGTAAGCGATTCTTTTCTGTGTACTGGCACTGCTAAGGAATAAAAAAAATATCGGGGATCGAAAGTAGTTTATGTCAGTGACGTGACGTTATTTTTGGCCAACTTAGTGTCGAAGAGGCTAGAAGCCAGGAAATCAAATATGTTATGCGCACAGAAATATATGATCAAACGTGTCCATAGGATTAATAAGTACGATTTGAAAAACTGGTGGTGGTGATTTTAAATCTGCGAAATCCGGGTTAAAGGACATATAACATTAAAATCCACTTCACAATCACTTGTAAGAAATCAATCAAACAGTTTTTCTACCTGTTGTGTTACTAGTAATCGTACTGGGTTTCCGGTTATCCTCGTAGTTTGGCTTGATTATTTTCACAAATATTTTTAATAGAAGCCGTTTCTCCTTTGTAAAGCAAACATTTGCACCACAAAGTAATAAAATTAGAGTAAACATAATACACCTTCTCTGTACTGAAAACCCGATATGTTTGCTTATCTGAGTGTGGCCAGAAAAAATATTTTTGTCACCAAATTAACATTGTAGTTCATTAAATAACTTTGTGTCTATAGTTCATTAGTTAGTCAATTATTTTGCCTTTTATTTATTGAATTAATTGATTCGCCACCTTGTACGTTCTCGGATCTTCGAAATGCTTCCTAGACAAAAGAGGTATGTTTGATTTGATATTGGAATTTCGCAGACTTCGAAATTGAATGGTGTGGTACTTAGCTGCATATAACGCTTACTTTCGGACATGGGTTTCGGGATCGTCGCGATCGCGTACATTGTGGCCTTGCTCTTGACTATTTCACTAATTTTCTTTGTTATTTATCACGTAAGCGAGCCTTTACAAGATAAATTTCCATACTCAGATAATTGCGTTTGATGAGCTCAAAACCGATTATAAAAATCCGGTAGATCAGTGCCGTAATCTTAATCCCGTAAGTACCGATAACAAAATAACCTTTTCAGCTTGTGCTTCCAGAGTATTGTATTCATGCAATTATCACCCTTTTCTTTCTTGTGACATGGCAATTGATGGCGCTCGTGTTAAATGTACCTTTGCTCGCTTATCACGTTCACAGGTTCCCATTTTGGCATTAATGACATTTTTAGGTTTATTACACGTCCAGTTAGGTCAGGTTATGGACTTTATCACCCAACCTCCATACTTAACAGCAATGAACTTAACAGAGCTATGAAGGAGGGGTGGGTAAAATTGGCCTTCTATATCCTGACCTTCTTCTACTATCTTTACGGGTACGTCTCCTCTCATTCCTTACACTTTTCTGTAGCATGATTGCGTCACTAATCGCCGCCTGAACTATATTTGGCGGGCGATTTACCTCGAACACGATCTGTTATTGGATTTCCAGTCTTGTACACACTGATATAAAATATAATACTTAGTTGTCTGGACTTTCGCCTTCTTTTTAGTGTTATTATAGTTGTTGCTAGTGTAGCAAAAACGTGTACGCCTTTAGATCATGTCGCTGGCTTGCTCAATCTCGAATGAAATTCCCGAACAACCTGTACTCAGCCCTCGCTCCGGCCACATTTTTGAACGTCGTCTTATTGAAAAGTATTTGATTGAAACTGGTTGTGATCCAATAAATCAGCAACCTCTCTCTGCCGAAGAATTAATCGAAGTTAAGACCTCGCCTTTAGTTCGTCCTAAGCCGCCACTTGCTACTTCCATTCCCGCCATCCTCAAAACCCTCCAAGATGAGTGGGATGCTGTTATGTTACACTCTTTCACTCTTCGTCAGCAACTCCAAACTGCAAGACAGGAATTGTCACACGCACTTTACCAACACGATGCTGCCTGTCGTGTAATTTCTAGGTAACTTCACACTTACCTGCCTTTTACTCGTACCTCATTATTGCTCTTATCCAATCTGATCTCCTTTAACCCAGATTGACAAAAGAAGTTACGGCGGCTCGCGAGGCCCTGGCAACCCTAAAACCACATACCGGAATTGGAGCTGCTCAACCAGCTTCGCAGGCACAAGACGTCTCTGAAGCTCCCACTAGTGATAAATCAAATGTAATTCATTTGATAATTTTTTTCTCAAATCAGTTTTTTAATACTCATTTATATTTCCTGTAGCTTCAAGAGGAAGTAGGACTTTCGGAGCAAGTGATAGCCCGCCTACAGGAACGCGCAGCCAAGTTAACTGATGAGCGTAAGAAAAGAGGAAAAACAGTTCCCGAAGGGTTGGCCAAGTCTCGAGATATTGCCGAATACCGACAGATTGCATCACTTGTCGGTATTCATTCACCCAGCGTTCCTGGTATTCTGTGTCTGGATGCAAGCAAAGCCACTCCTGAGCGGATTGTCACCGGTGGAAATGACAAGAACGCCATCGTCTTTAACACACAAGCATCTCAGGTAAGTCTTTTGGAGGTTCTCAGTTGGATCTTTAGTTGTTATTCTCTATACACGCCTCCATGGTGCTTTATTGACTGTAATCTCATTGCTAGGCTTAATCAGAACACAGTCATATTTCAATAATGCTAAGAATCAATTGCACATCTGGATGCAGTTTTTAATTATTCCACTTCGTTTCTCTCTTGCGAACTTATCAGTTCTGTATGTCCCAGTCTTAACCACATTATTTCTTCATCTTTACTGCGTATTAGGGATTCGCTAACACGCGTTTGTTTCAAGGACTACTTCCCCTTATGCTTATGTTTGACGCAGCCGTACTGTGTTCCAGGTGGTGGCTGTTCTACGTGGCCACACAAAGAAGGTGACACGGGTGGTCTACCACCAAAGCGAGCAATTGGCCTTCACGGCGTCGCCGGACTGTACTGTACGTGTGTGGGGCATAGAGCAGGCCCAATGCGCCTCAGTTATCCGCGCTCATGCAGGCCCCATCACTGGTCTCTCGCTTCACGCCATCGGTGATTACCTCCTTTCTTCATCAGCCGACGGCCAGTGGGCTTTGAGCGACTTGCGTCGTGGACAGGTGCTCGTCCGTGTCACCGTTGAAAAAGGCGGCTCCCTTCAAAGTAAGTGTTCCCGTGTGTGTAATAAATAAATAAGTCAATGTGGACAAGCCAGCAACTGTTTTGATGCTTGCCAAGTAAGTAATCAGTGTCTAACAGTGGAATAGTAGAGTTACTCTATCACACCACCCGTCGGTTATGTAATACGTCTTTTGACCAGACTATTTATATTTGCTTTTCCTTATTCAAATTCAGTTTTCGCTGGAACTGATAGTACTTATTTGTTTACTTAATGGTTAATTGGAATTTTTGAGTTTATGTTGCTTTGAATACGCGACCCACTGCACAGCTGTGCGGTTGAGTCTAAGTCACTTTGGTGTTTTTTTTGACTGTCTGACCAAGTTTGGCGGACTTCGCGACTTTACGCTGGTCCACCTCGTTGCCTTTTGATAACGCACAATAGAAGCCGTAATTACATTCTTTGCATTTCACTGATGATCGCCGTAATTCCTTAATTGTAGCTTATGCTCAATGAGCGTTATTTTTTCTTTTTCTGACCCGAAGGTTTGACGTGTGCGCAGTTTCACCCAGACGGCCAAATTCTGGCCACTGGCACTGTGGACGGTGAGGTGAAGATTTGGGACATTCGCGAGCGCCGCAATGCGGCCAATTTCACCCACGGTGTCGGAGCAAACCAACCGCTTACAGCCGTTTCGTTCTCGGAGAATGGTTACTACCTCGCAACCGGTGGAGCTGATGGGCAAATCAAACTGTGGGATTTGCGTAAACTGAAGAACTTCAAAACTTTGGTAGGTTGATTGTTAACTGCATTGTTACTCCTACAAAAAAGCGGGTTCTTTAAGCAATTTTTTTTACTGAAGCCTCATTTTCTTATGACTTATTTTTATGCAGAAGGCATTCGACAAATTTTAATAAAGCAAGTTCTTTTACCTTCGCGTTCAGCTTCACCTACACTTTGGCATCAATTTGGCTATCATCTTCGTGCTATGTCGAGTTTTAGGCTTGTCTTTTCATGTTTTTGAAGTAAAGTATCGGATCATGCCCCAAATTCACAAATTTAGTCACTCGTAACCTTTCTATTGTGTAGTTATCTTGCATGCATGCGTGTATTTCAGACTCCGGATGTTGATCGGGCCAATTCTACCTACGAGATAAACGACCTCGAGTTCGATCAATCAGGGTGCTACCTCGCCGTAGCAGGAAGTGATGTTCGCGCCTATCTTTGCAAGCAGTGGGATCAGTTGGCCGTGTTTACCTCACACACCTCTCCCGCGACCGGCGTTCGATTTGGTCCGAACGCGAAATCTATCATAACCTGCAGTCTTGATCGTACAGTCAAAATCTACGGCAGCAGTGCAAATGAGGAAGGCGACGGTCCCTCTAACACGCAGACATAAATCCCCTTTGCATGTTGCATTTTTTTGCGACATCGCGTTTTGTACACCGCCGTAATGTCGTTGTGTCCATTTTAAATCACTTTATGAGTAAGGTTCCTCTTTTCTGACATTCATTTACGCCTGAAGTGTAGGGTCAGGAAGTAGTTTGGACTTGAGTTCTGATGTACCTTTGGTGAGGCGCCCTGCCTAAACAATTTTGGGTCCAAAGACCATAGATGTTGTGTGCGATATTTAGATCATGTCACTTATAGGTGGGAAAGATTATGATATCCCCTTGTTTCATTGGCATAAAAAAATCATGAGTCAAGGTCTATCCTCCCAGGCATTATTCCACTCTCCTTTCGTTGTTTCAAATCTTGAGTTTCCCTAAACTCTGCGATACAATTTTTAGTTCAATTAATTGTGTGCTGGGTTCGCTTTTGTCTAATGCTATTGCTATCATTTCGCCTCCAAACTCACCACTTTCTCGCAAGCTGTAATCGGATCTAAGTGGTAGTACTCAGTTTACAAGAAAATTGCTTAATATTTCGACGTTAGTGTTCATCGGTTTGTACACTTCAGCTTTTCTCACTTGACTGTCTATCCCAGTACCGGCTAATCCCGATTGCCACACTCGTGGATGCCTTCATTGCTTTGTGTTGATTCGTGAAATGTCTATGTAGTGTTGAGGAGGGTGGGCACGAAACCATATCGGCTGTGCTGTATCCGCCTCACACATCCTGTACCACCTGCCCGTAGCCCTGTGTTTAGTAGGCAGTTGTATTTGTTCATTAGATACCGAGATCAGAAAGTTCAATGAGTAGCGTAGTTTTGAACTCTAACCCTAGCGGTATGAATTTGGGGGGTTAGAGTTCGAACTCATGTCGACTTCGTAGAAACCGATCATTGCAATGATTAGCAGTGACGATTCACTGTTACGGATGGCCACCAGTCGCGCTGACGTGGTACCTGTTCGAGTTTTCCCAATTGGATTTGTGCAACCGATTCACATCCGTATTAATAATCACTCGTCAAAGGTAATGCAGCAACCCGTTACGATGTCTGGGATTGTTCAGTGTGAACCGTAGAATGTGCAAGCTGTGAATGCTATTTGCCAATTCCTTACCTATAGGTCTCGATGCTCCATATTACCTACCATAAATTCCATACCAACGACGCCTACCGTGGGTACTGCGTTTTCGTGTGATTTTGGCGGCATGGTATATTAAGGTTGTACTTAAGACATTGTAACCACCAAAGGTCTTAGTGATTAATGCACACAATGGTGACACTACCTAGCAGGTAGTGCTTATAGCACTCAACTAACTCCACATCGGCTGTCTCCCTGCGCTTAGACATGTCGTTTGTTAGAAATTCGGGAGAACCCTACATTTGTGTTTAGAATGATGTGAGATAACCCAACGCATCGTTGAGAAATGCTGACACGGACGCTAAATAGAGTTCAAAGTCACTGAACGTCAGTCTACTCCCATCAGCGTTTTCTATCAGTAAGCCCATGAAGGGTGGACACTACGTCCGTAGCCCTCTGCAAATCTTCGGTAGTGGCCAGACCTACAAGATTTCGTGTATTCTAGGTATTCGATGAGGAGACAGTGCCCTATGCTTTTCAATTATAATACATTCCACCATTAGGATGTGGCCCACTTAGAGTGCTGGACATTACTCCTAAAACGCACACCAAGAATCCAACTGGCGTTAGACCGTGAATGACAAAATTTATGGACCCCTGGAGGGTGGGCATGGTCTCAAACTTATGTAGTCCAGGTTCGAACAATGAATGTCGCCCTGTAGGGGCGAACTAAATTAGTTTGTACAGACCAATAATCTGAGGGTACGTGTTGTCACGGCGATTATCGCCGAACTTGACGTCATTAATAACAGGTGCAGATCAACCTGAAACCTGTTGTTAAGCGTTTACTTGAGAAATTGATCATGGTTTTTGATGATTTGTTGTAAATGCAGTGGACCAGACACGATCAAACACCCCACGATAAGGACCGGCTGAGTGTGCTGAACCAGGCCCCATGGAACGCTCAAACTTGTTACTGTCCATAGAAATATTTGTTTACCTATCTCGGACACTTAATCTTAATGACCTTGTAATGCGGCGTTTCGCAGCGAACTTTTCTAGTGGCTATACATTGGTCACACCGTATCCAATTTGCTAACTGCACCCCATTCCGCGTGAAACACATTACGGCCAGTCACTCTTGTCATTACCAAAGTTTACCACCATGGGTGCAGCATATGCTGCCACGTCGAATCGCGAATTCGAATCCACGACGACACATTGAAACACCCTGAATGAGTATCAATGGGTAAACCAAACTTAATGTTGGTAAACGTCCCAGCCCTTGGCATGTCCGAAATACCTTCGCCTTCAACAACACCACTTAATACTTCTACGTCGACACATCCATTGAATTCACGCGACACTTCGGACAAAAATCACACCTGGGTATTTTGCCCTGGCGTCAAAATTAAGCACCCGACGCGCGAGCCTGGTTCAAAGAACCGACAATCTATAGGATGACACAAGTGGAAGAATAGCACTGGTATTGCTTATAGTATTCACACAGTAAATCAAGAGCCTGGAGGAGTAAACACGGTCAGTACTACATGGGCGGAGGTTGCATGTGGTAACGGAGGGGACAAAACGAGGGGAAGGAGAACAGTTTCAGGCAGACAGAATGCGACGGCGCAGAGGCAAAGTAGCTACGCCCTGCAACGTCAGCAGCACTGTCGCGGTAGATCGATGTAAGATAAGTCAGCAGACAACAGAGGAGCGGAAGCACAATAAATAGGAGAACTGTGTAAAGGGTTTTGTGCGAACACCCGAACGCCACGGCAGATAACACAAGTTGTTGGAGGTCCTGGTGCTGCTGTTGTGGTGGTGGTGGTGGCGGTGAGGGCACCTGAGGAGGCGATTTAGCAGGGGGCTTCGAAGTCAATGTCTGGGGTGTAAATGCAATCAGGTTGTGCATATTGGCCAACGAAGACCTTAGGCGGGCTCGAAGAGCCTGATTGTCAACAAGCGAGGACGACGACTGACTAGATACGCTTAGATGAATGACGCCTGCCGACCGACAACTGAGAAGGTTGCAGTAAGAGCCCAGTTCAGAGGCCTTTTCCAAAAGATCCTACAATACAATGGGTGACCCCTCGTTTACTGCTTCACCAATGCGTCGATTCGAGTTTTAGGCGTCATAACAGTATCAAATTATGGGTTCAGGCACCCAGTATAGGCTAATATGTAGCAAATATCAAGGGCAAGGGACATCAGTTGCACTCAGAATAAGCCCAGAGCAAGGCTTAAATATTACCTGGAGTCTTTCAGTTAACGCGGGGATGTTTGACAAATTTGGCCGCAAGGTTGACTTGTACACGTGACAGCTCTTGTCAATTGAGCCATTCGCGTGTCTCAGCTGGTCCATAATACAGCGGGCTTCTGTGAGCACCGGTTCTGCCTGATTGGATATCTCCACTAGTTTCACACCAGCCTCGTGATTGGCGGAATTGATGAAGTCAAACATGCACAACTGCGTCTTCAACTCGCGTTCAACTTCTGCACGCCTGCAATCGCACAAGAAATGCTACTTACAAATAGTGAGTGACGGAAATAATAAACTAAGCAAGCTAGAAAATGGCTGACCTCGAAATAAGCATGTCAAGCCAGCTGGTAACGATAGTCAAAAACCCATGATCAGACGCCAACAATTTGTCGGCGTAATGTTCGAGTCCTGCCAAACGTTGCTGGTGATTCCTGACCAGCTCGTCCAGTTCGCTGCGCCAGCACTGCAACTCCCGACCGTAAAACTAAGGAAAAAAACGTTCATTACTCTACCCGTGTGGTAATAAAGATGGCTGACCAATCCGACCACACTTTCCCGTCTACTAAGGGCTCGACTCGGGCTATATCTGAGTGCGTGGCTTTCAGAAACATCACTGAATGAAATATTTTGCCAAATGCTCTCGCTAAGGAGGAGAGCTGTTGTGAATCGCGATGATCCACACTCGCTAATCCGATCACTCCAGCCTCCGACACAGGGTTCCTCTTTTCGCAACATGTCGCCAGCCGCACGGATCCTCAACTCACCTCTTATTCGCACAAAAATTCATCCTGAATTATCCTCACACCCAGATCTCGATGTTGGCGCATCTACGACTCACACATCTGAGGTATAGATACATACGCGCGAACCCCACACACGACACAACGACACCGTGATTGAGCTCTAAAGTAAACGGTTGTATCTGCGTCCTCTCCGGTCTTTTGCTTCATCGCGGGTAGCAGGGAAGCGTAATCGGGCCAGAGTTAATTCAGTGGCCCCGGCGTGGTTCAAGACCACACGGATATCATAATGCCCCTTACTTAACCTTGATTTTACAGCCATTGATGGTTAGGATGAAACGCTACAATCCGGACCATAACAGGGGAACAATGCACATGACTGTCTTTTCCAAATAAACAACCCGAAACGACCGATCTACTATTCACAATTAGGTAAATTGTTTCTAGAGGATTCTCTCACAATCCTGACCGGGTTTCAAGCGTAGCTAGGTTCCCGGAACGACTAGTGAAATGCGCCCTTAGCATGCAAATCTACACCCATAAATGACTTCATTAGAACGAACTTTGTTTAACTTAACTCTAAGTTAAACGACACCTGCGTCACTGAGGCTCAAGCCCACACAAAGCTGACAAACTAAAGCCCATTTCTGACTTCATGACAAAAGAACAGTCGCATAGTGATTAACAAACACGAGTGCGTACACAATCGAGCTACTGGCGCCCCACACACTGCTAAATATCATCAGCAGCGGGCCTTCGCACCCGCTATGTCAAGTAACGAGTAGCCCTTAAGATCACAAAACCTGCTAATGTCACATGAAAGCTTCGAGTAAAAAAAAAGAAACATCCTAATGTGCCACTGTGTTTGGTTACAACTTTTTAAAAGTCAGTGTAAAAAGGCATGCCTGGAAGACGCGTCGTATGCTAAAGAGTTATGGAGGAACATTGGTTTTCAGGGGGGCTTACCTCAAGTTCGCTAAGACACCTGTCTAATTCCGGTCGATGGATGGTGGGTCGTAGGCGGCAGGGGGCGAAGGAGTTTGCAGTCACTGCGGGTGTGTACAACGAGTACTCGAGATTAGAGAGCCAAGCATTCAGACTTGAACCGTCACGAAACATAAACGACAGTCTGGCTGAGTGCGTGGGGGACAACCGAAGTGCTGCCGCCAAACTCGCAAGCTAAAGCGCAACAAAGGAGACCAATGGTGAACAAGAAGGAATCACGCGAAGACAAGCTACGCCAACAAGCCTGTGCATCGAGAAACGAACGTGCCAATAGTTATGCCTCTGAAGAATAACACGAAACTACCAACTAGGCTGACCTCCTTAATTCCTAACAAACTGTTCCAGACATTGGAGGTTTTACTTTTAGGCCACGATTAGTTCATGATCCGCAACAACTGAATGCACATGAAATCGTTCGACTAAACACCAAACCAGAGGGATTAATCGGGTGGGTTTCGTCATGAGAGCTTCGGGCAGACTGTGTGTGAGGACATAATGAATTGAAGTACGAGCTTTTGCTAAAATCCATCACCACATTTCCATGATTATCTGCTAGCTTGTCAAACCACCGCGAGCACCACAAGCATGCACTCACATCTTTCGACTTGCAACTCAACGGGGACCATGTGGGCAGACTGGGCGAATCCATGGCGTCTCCAACGGCGCGACCGAAGTCCAAGTTCACTTCAGATGTTGCGTTCGCCTCGTCGTCGTCGTCAAGCACAGAAATGGGCACGTACGCCGACGACTCCTCCAAAAAGTCGCCAGCCCCCTTGAGAGAGTAGTCGGGAGAGCGCAACACGCGGGGCGGAACGACGTGTCGTTCCTCTGATACGAGAGGGCACAAAGACAACAGACTTTAAGCAGCCATCAAAAAAAAATGGAATTAGTGTGTCTGAGTGACTTTGGATCGCAGTGAAGTGGTCTTTTTGGGGGGCGTTCCACAACTGCCTAAATGGCAGAATGCGTTCTGACGCACATTGGGGGCACATGAGGATAGGATCGTAAAATTGCGGCAAGAGGGATGATCCATTCGGTTGATTAATGCACCAGGCTACTGTGCCTCGTGGTGATTTTTTTCAAGTTGGCGAATACCACGGTAAGTGTGCGGTGATACAAGCAATGCGTTTTTTACCTGCATTACCCCGTATTGAACTAAACTATCTTGAGAAAATCTGTGTAGACGACAATAGTGGTGGCAGTGGTATAACCAAGAATAAGATTGCAGTATCGTCTTAGTAGAGGAATAAGCCCATTTCCAATATTAAAATAACTGCGTAAAACGTAACTAGGAGACGCATGTGATGAACCTGGTAAATCTAGGAGAAAAATGCAATCCCTTCCAAAAACTGACCAGTAAGAATAGGGAGGCTTCTAGACAAGCGTCTTTGCGGATCGAAAGAGAGGTCGTCTTCATCGACTTCGTCCTCCATGCTTGGCGAGACGCCCGGGGACGCGGCATCAATGGAGTCACCTTCAGCTGCGTCGTCACTGGAAATAATGGAGAAAGTGGATTCGCACATCCGAGAGTAGGGCGTAGTTGGCGTCCGGACGAGTGGGATGTCACGCTCGCTACAGGACAGAACAAGATGACAGTGAGGTGTGTGTGTGAAGAGAGCAGTGTTTGAAAGTGTTGTGGCGATCAACATGCGAGAATTCACACCGAGTGTGAGTGAGCACGAGTTCAATCGACTACCTTGACTGCGTCTCAGTCGAGGGAGGTTGGGAGTGGTGGCTATCAGGACACCAATAAGAGAAAAGTTCGAAAAAGATCGAGAATGTTCTGGATTTCGGTAGTCTACCCTGGAGTCACCAACAGTCCATGGGTGAACCTCAAACTGCTCCCCAGGGCTCAGTTCTCACACTATGATCACTTTCGCCCTCAACCAGATCAAAGAGCATCGAATATCTAGTGAATAGAATTGGTTGTCACACGTTGCCGTTCCAACGACCAACCTTCCAGACAAGGCGGAAAAAGCTGTTCCGTCAACACCAGTAAAAACTTCAATCACCTCCCGACAATGCCTAAGTCAACATTCGACTACCACCAATCGCCACAATGACGTCTCGAAACAAACAATCTGTTTCGACTGTTCCTCGGCGACGACATCGCCAATCGATACAACAACGATTAGGCCCTCAATACTCGCATAGTTTCCCTCGACTCCCAAATCGCAGGCGATTCAATTCCACCGACCAAATTGCAACGACAAATGTTTCCTTTCAGTTACCATGACGGGAGATCCGTCAACAGAATGTATCTACCGTCACACAATAATAACAACCCGCCGGAGTCGAATAAACGACGATTGTCTATCGACTTTGGCCACGACGTGTCTATCCTGATCGTTAATCCCCAGTGTGGCCTCGAGTGCCAACTTCGGGGGCGTTGCAGAATCGTGCACGGTTTTCTCGATCTAACTTTTGGCCTCGATACCAGGCGCTTAAACGTGTCGGAACGTGTTTAGCCCGGAGATGAATAGAAAAAGACCAGGATAAAACAATGCCTTTTCCGATGATTCCAACAGTCAAAATCTTGGATCAGATTACATGGATATTGGACATTAGCTGCCATGCTCACAGCGCACATGGTGTAAGCAAAGTCTAACACTTGTCCCAGCTTCGGAAGTTCTTCGAAAACGTGTGTTTCCTCTGACATGGACATTTGAGTTGCCGTAACAACAACGTCAGTTTGATGTGTCGGCCACTGCATATTTTAGAACATGGATCTATTTGGTCTATTTTTCTTTTCCTGGAGCCCTTCACAAATCCTGCCAATAATTGGTGAGGTATTAGGATGTAGACTAATCATAGCAAAACAAAAATGAAAGTTATTGCATGATAGTTAACTCGAAACAACCTTCGCTTCAGCTTTCACTACTTGCAATGCGCACATCACCCACATAAAGCACATCATCACGAATGCGCATTCATCATCAAACACTTTGAACTAAAGTCTAAGAAGTAATCAGTCTTGTGAAACATACACACACCCAATATGCGTGAGAGATGACGAATGACAATTTCAAACGAGGGTGTGAATAAACTCAGCCATCTAAAGACGTAATAAATCAAAGTCTCACGGATTTATGTGGGAGCGTAACGAAGCAATTGGGCTGACGGCGATCTGTTGGGGCTTAGTCCTCAATGGCGAGAGAAGTCTGATGGCGGCGCGATTTTCCGTGAAAACCGGGCGACCCAAAGTCGGTGAGCCGAAAGGCGCGCGTTGATGTGCTGCTCTAACTGGAGTGCTTTCCGCAATAGAACTCATCCGATTGCTTGTACTCGACTCGGCTAAAATGGGAAAAGCGGCAAATGGCAAAAAAAACCCCGGTAGGCACGTGAGCAAAAAAAGCACAACTGGAGAGGCTACGGTGGCACTAATTTTGTGCTCAGAGACTGGGAGAAAAAGTGACAAAATGAGCTTGTGGCTGAGGCTAAAAGCCCCAAACCAATTCAGTTTTCTTTCCCATTCACTTCCTGAAACGACGAGCACCGTTTATTACTGTCCCCAAATTCTAGTGTCAAAACCCTGCTACTCTACAGCGACAGTATAAGCAGGCACACAAACTAGATGACAGACGCCTAGTCAGAATGAGGAATGAGTTTGAGAAATAGGGTAACAAGGATAAGGATATCGACAAAAGTGGAAACTAGACAGTCAGATGTCATTGGAAAACAAATGGAAACCAGAGTATTATGTCTGAGGCGAAATTCGAAACATCGGCGTTCGGAAGACCTGTAAACGAATAAATTTAGCATTTTGAGGCACAGTCTCCACTGAAGGAAGAATGCGCTTTTGTAATCTTGAGGCTTCGGGTGCACTGAAAATGACCACGTTCCTTTCAACCTAGGCAATGTGGGCATCATTATTAACGCCACGCATAATTAGTACCGCGCTCAAGAATTGGCGAAAACGCAATGGTAACAAAGGCATTACCTTTGGGAGAATCGGAAAGTCGTGTCACTAGAATGCACTCATTCCGTTGAGTGTTCGAAGGCGGAAACGAAAACGACCGAAAGCGGTGGCAGATGGCGGTGTCTGGGGCGGCAGCATTGGTCAAGGAGCGCAGTGAAAGCCATTTTCGCCTTCGCAGGACGTTGTCCGAGTCACTCACAAAGCCCGACTCGCCACTTTCTGTGAAACGATGACGGTGTTTAGGAAGGGGAGCCCCAGTGCCCTTGATTGACTCCAGACATTGCATGCTCGGAGTAGATCCTGAGGCCCGCAAGCGCTGGCACAACTTGCGAACTGCTACCTTCGACAATACCGGAGCGCTGACACCCTTCTCTGCTGGACTGCAATCCGAGGAATTGTGCTGCAAAGTTTCAAGCAACGGTGAATGCAGTCATGATCCTACGCTACGGTAAATCTGATTCTACTCAACCTAACAGTGGCATTTAAGGAGCCTACTGGGTCCTTTAGATGGAAGCTTAAATAGAAATCGATTTTGGGGTAAAATAGCTCTTGCAATACCTGATTATTGGCACTGGTCCAATATTGTCGTAAGATCTCCCTTAACTCGAGTTGTTTTAGCCAGACCTCTTGAACGCGAAAAATCAGATTCGAAAGCTCTTCTCGAGTGGATGCTGCAGCAACAGCCCCTTCGGTGGAAAGCTTGGGCCAAAATGACTCGGTGTGCGGATTAGCCTCTGCTTCCAAGTGGCTCAACAGAACACTCGCGTCATTTATCCTACGAATGAGCTTCTTCAGTTGCAAATGTTCGATCTAAAAGGAAACAAACGATTCTGGGTTTTGTTTAAGGATTTTATGGTAATAACGTAGAAACAGTTGAAAATTAATTTCAAAGGCCAGCTAAATAAGTTGACGTCCTGCAAAAAACCGACATCACTGTGGAAAACAGTTGGTTATTTCGGATCGCAGCACTGTTAGGAACGCGAAATTTATCACTCCTTTAATCGGCTTATAAAAGATGAGCTTGCCTAGGAGCAAAATGCGTAGGTTCGCACTCAATCGTTCACTAATTTTACCCAGAATCTAGCAAAATGCTTGGAAAGTTAGCAGACGGAGTGGGAAGACGTCTTGTTCCAAGCTCTTTGCCTAATTGAAACTGTACGAAACAATATTAACCGTTAGGCAGAATGCATCACGTGTGTGTGTGTGCGTGTGTGTGTGTCAGTTACTGCGGCGTTTTTTCCTCGTCAAGCACAAGTTAAGATCGCAAGCGATGAAAAAATGCAGCGGAGGAGTACACAAACACCAAGGCGGAGGGATAAGGAAAAGGATGTTTTAACAAAAGGAAACGGCCACGGCGATTTGGTGCTGGAGGGTCTTTAGGAACAACACGCCTAAAGTTATGTGTGGCGTGTGTTTGGTTAGCTCAAACAGAATGTGGAGTCAAATTTCGAGGGCAAGATTGCAAAACACAAACACCAAAATCATAGCATAGATTGAGCTCCGAAATCTTGCTATTTAGATATGAATAGCAAAAGAATGGTGTATTCTCCACAGTATTCCACCAACAAGTCTCGCGCTAAGCAGTGACAAAAAGGAAGGAAGGAAACGTGACCACAAGGGGTGCGTGAGATGTGACCATCCCACCCTTGTTAAGCAATTGGTTCGTTTTGATACGTTAGAACAAATCCTAAAAAGTTCTGAGATGTCGACTAGGCTACGACGCGGCACAGCTGTGGTCGTGGAATGAAGAAAAGGAAACTAGCGAAGCGTTAATGCTGGTGCGAATAACGAATCAAGTCGGGTAAAAGTGAGGCTAACGAAAGCCTACACCCTGAACTCCAATGATGACAGAAATGCTTGGCTTGGAAGTAATACTCAACGAAACACGTATAAATCACAACCATAAATACTTTGTGGATACACAACCACGGCATGTGGCCATCTTGATGGTGAATATCGCACACAACAGTCGCAGAAGCTGGTATCACACTCAACCGTCGTCTAGCCGTTTTTTTGAGATAAGTTATGCTTCTGACGATTAACAACTGGTCATCCTCGTCATTTTACAATTGTCCACGATGCCACGGCACCTCGGCTTGCTTCACGAACATTACTTACCTTACGTTTTGACCCACTCTGATACGCCATCCAAATTCTAAAGCTTCAATTTGATGTATTTTTGATTTGATAGACAGCGGTATTTATTTTGCGCAAGCAACATCCTAGACGCACCCAATCGGATCAAGAAGACCATCAATAAATGCCATCTTTTCGTGGGAAAACTCTTATTGCATGGACTTCGATTACTACAGTTAGTACAGGTAAGTAATACTTACAAACGAGGTTTAATTTACGTTACAATTTAAAATACAGGTCATGAGAAATTAAGGAAGGTATATTTGACTTCGGTTGTTTTCAAAAACACATCTTTGGCAAAATTAATAACTTTCGTTCGCTTCCGAGTCCATAAGTTTTGAGTTACACACAGATGTCCAAATGGTAGAGATAAGCAATTACAGATAAGAGATCCCTTCGGGCAAAGACGAGGGCAACATGACCGGAAAGATCGTGTTCAAATGTGTGCTGCTGCTGCTGCTGTTGAACAGTAAAAAACGTCAAATCATAACTAGCGTGTCATTTGTTGCGAGTGACACTGGACACGATCTTCACTTCCGTGTCTGCGTGAACCAACTCTCGTGCAGAAAAACATGCTCTGAAATGCAACAAGCGAAGCCGAAAGGCACGCACGCCATCGCTTGTCCTGAAACGATAAATCTTAGCTAATAATTTTTTTGAAAGTTCAGACTGTATTTAACAGCTGCGTGATTCCAAGGCGCTTTCTAACAAGGTTGATGCCAATTCGTTAAGTTTACTACTACAACTAGGGAATCATATAACGACTGACTTCTGAGAATTAAAAGCCACCGCCTAGTTATGGGAGCCATTTTAAGTCTTCAATCAGAGTTGCATAAGTTCCAAGGAATGGCAACCATAACACATTTGCACTCACGTGACATATCTAAGAGTCTAACTCAAAGAACCCCTTTTTTGGAAAGTTGGCGTGACCCTGAAGTAACCTATAATCAGAGAGTTGCAGTGGTTCCGAGGAATGGCAACCATAACGCGTTTTCAATCACGTGACATGTCTAAACGTCTAACTCAAAGACGCAAACGGCATTGTGTTTACTCCAAGCTGTAGTAATGCGTATTTGAACGAATAGCGCTTCAAAAGCTGTGAAGGAGCTTCGACCCTCGCCATAGATACCCACCTCATCGGATAAGGAAGGAGGGCGAAATGAATCATCAGCTGTGGCACGATAACCTCAGCGATTAAATGAGGTCATCAAGGGTCACTTGAAGTAGACGAAAATGTCAAGTGTGAAGAATGGTTAGATGCCTAAATCATTTCCGGTCTTGACTACCAGGGTAGAAGACAGAAAGAGCTAGCAATGAAGGTGGAGATAATGGGCACATATCCCAACCAATGTAGAAGGATTCTAGAGCGGTATCCGCGACGACGCAAGCCGGACATTAAGAAAATTCCCGAATTCAAAGACTGAAGACAAAATGGCTTACGCGTGGCAGCAGAACCGACTTAGTTAAAAACTACGGATTACCAGATACTGTGAACCACACTGATCCAAAATTTGAATATTCGCTACGAGATAAGCGGAGAGTGTGGTCATATTTTTGAAAGTTACGAATTGTTATGACTATTATATATGGGCACTATGGGTTAAATAAGAGGCCTTTAACGGTACCAGGGAAACCAACGCGGCACAACTGGGGATCAACACGTTTTCACGTCGAAGGTCACGAATCTTATAGGGATTATCAAACACACGGAAGAAGAGGATCGTATTCAAGACGAAATCTATGTAAAGTAGGTTCGGCGAAATGAGGATTCGAGTGTACAAGTGTGGACGAATGGACCTACACTTTGTGGAACTTTGATTTGCCCTTACTATAGAGCATCGTGGAAAGCAATATGCTTGGTCTAAACGCAAACAAGCGCGGCAGTAGATGAAGGCTAACACACTGAGGCTTGTAGTCGTCGTAGTCCATCAGTGGCAGAAAAGTCCGTTTGCGGACGTCACGCTTTCAAAGCTCGCAATCAGGGCCGTAAGAAAAAAAATGCACCAATGTTCGCGCCGATAATGCAAACACCCACATAACTACGTAGAGACATGGAGATGCACTTTCCACGTATAAGAGAGGCGCTCAGTGGCGACACTTTTGAATACAGGCTCATAGCGACCGAAACACATAAATAAATAAATAAATGAGCAATACACGATGATGTACACAACCAAAACACCCTTGATCTCACCTTCAGCAGTTTATAAGCAGCTTTGCCAATCGGTTCTGTCAAGTTCTGTGTCGCTGATAAGCATATGGCGTTTGTTTCTACAAAAAAAAGCAGGGTGACAGACAAAATTTTAGCATTACGGATGTAAGAATTTTCAGCATGCAACAATGGACATTTTTATAAGTTTTGGCGCAAAATTGTTTTACCCTAGTGGGTTTCAAATCACTAGGGCTAAATACCACCGTAAAATCAACAAATGTCTGGTATAATTTAATCAAGTTCGTTCTTGGTGCTCCGTACCATCATGACAAAAGATTGTAAATGCGTGCAAAAACCGAGCTACGTACAACAAGTATATCTTAGCTCTCGTTTAAGAACCTGTACCCAGTGATTAAGTACTAAAACCAACGCATTAGCACGCTTTATCCGTCTCGCGCAAAGCCTGTAACCAAGGCGTGGCACAATTGATCCCGCAGTGCGTCCGAGCTGAGCCAACTTCGTTTAGACTGCTTCTTGGACTCGGTGGCTAAACAGAATCCACCTTCTGTTGCCAACGACATGTTTAAAAAGAATGAAATTTGACGGATCACACACAATGATTCATCAATTTCCCCTATACAACCTAACAGTATACTCACATCTGGGTGTGTTGGCAAGTACAAGCTTGGATGAGAGACCTTTTAATGGCATTTGGGGACTTTCGCGCGTCTTCCAGGGATGCAGACATTAACCAACCGCAGCTGTGGCAACCGAAATTCCCCTCTCTCAACCCCCAGAACTGATTTCTTCTCAGCGTTAGACGGCCAAGTACACCGACAATTTTTTCACACTTGTGATATTCTTTCCTTTTTCATATATAATTCTTTGCTTGACCAACTAAGTGTCACCAAAGACCTTTGGCCTGATTGCAAAAAATCTGATTCAAGGAATCAAGGAGATTGCGAAGTCTGAAGTGGATGCGGTGATGCAACGATCATCTACCTGGAGCGACATGTGTGCTGGTCAAAGGTACACAAAAAACGACGCTACAGACTTGTAACCAGGCCGAACTAACACGTGTTTATCGAATTGACTGGACGCAGGTAAGGCACTGTATCGAATGCCTTATATGTTAGCATAACAGTAAACGAATGCTAATGCACCACAACCTATACATTTTTGGGTCTCAATAAGCAGGAAATTCGCTCCTCTTCTGAGTAGAAAAGTTACCAAAACAAGGCAACATATCAATAAAAACAGTAGCTGTATTGGTATTTACGACCCAGAGTAAGTTGCAAACATGAAACAAGGTAGCCTAAAAGAAAGTATATTTATTATTGGTGTGCGGAGAAACGTGGTTTAATGTTTCAGCAAGCGAATACTCTCAAAGACAAGCACTAGGCTAGTGTTTTTAACATTAGTGGAATACGACTTTGCAGAAAATAGAGGCTCGATGCTAAAACTACCATCATATGATTATTTACTGAGAAGCGCTAGTCGTAATTTTAACTAATGTGATGGAAAAAAGTATTGTGTAAGTTTCAAATAGCAGGACAAGAAGGCAGTTAAAATTGCCTCAATGAAAATGCAATCGAAGCGGGTGACGTGGAACCGATAATAGAGAAGCCTGCGCCATAACAGTAAACTGCTCCACCGTGTCTTGATGGCAACACTTTAGCCTACTACTCAAGGCAAATTATTCTCCATAATAACCACAACTGAGGGCAAGGAAACTAGTCAATTATGTGGGGAGTAATTTTCTGGTCGATGTTTACAAGATGTTAAAAACGAAAATCGACCAGGATTATGGATTTCTATCCAATAAAAATGCGGAATAATATGGAATAGTGATTACGTGGCTGAATTCCTAGACTGTAACCAAGATACGCATGTAAACAAATAACGTAGACCCGATTTGCAATACCACAACAAAACGCATGCATAAATTGACGACCCGACTTAAAGTACAAATGGGACGTAAAAGGGAGAATTCTTGCTTTAAGCTAATTATGCTAACCTTTTCTAATTAACCCAGAAAGTGGCATGCAATACCTTATACTTTAATGTTGTGGGCTGTCTGTGGCGTTAATTGGACGCTATCCATAATAATATCCGTTTTAGGAAGATAATAGTGACAAGGTTCACAACTCAAAATAATGACCATCGAATTTCATAGAAGGGCATTTTTAGAGCACGTATGTGTTGCAGATTTATTGCAGTGATGAATTCCGAAAGCAACGTAACTATTTTTTAAAAAAATTGAAGGGGATTTTCGAAGGACACGCAGTAACCTCAACGAATGCGATCATGAAAACCATGGATTTTCGTGTTGAATAGAAGCAACGGTTTAACTTTAGTGATAAACCTCCACCACAAACTACGGAACAAAAGACAGGATTTTAGGTGCGTTTGAGAATAGAAGACACTGTGGTGTTGTGATAAAACTAGTGAAGAACCAGGCAGCAAGAACCAAAATCCACATTCTATAAAGTTGAATCGAATTTACATTAAAAAAACAGACGAGGCCACCTACCTTCGACAACCTCGACAACTCGTGTAGAAAGCGTGCAGGTCTCATTCTGAAAAACTAAAATAGGGTAAAATTGCATTGTCCACTGTCCTAAAAGTATGAGCTATGGGTTTTTTTAAAACACGACTAAGAAAAAGAGCTTACTTGGTAATAGGGCAGCCTCGTTTATCTTGTCGCGAAAGGAATGCAGCTGCCAGCCAACTTTTTCCCAGTACGCATCAACCTGCTTTAGTAGCCTGACGTAACTCCGAGCAAGAACACCGCGAACCGAATGCGGAGTGTTCGATAGGGGCGTTGGGCGACGTTCGTCAATTAAGGGCAAGGAGACCGAAAGAGAACTTGCAGGGTGTGCGAAAGCGGCTAGTTGCTCCGTAAATGCATGAATACGATGAAATGTCGGTTCACGTAATGCATAGCCCTCTAGGAAATCCTAAAATTTTGTGGACCAACAACCTCTGTAACCACAGAATCTGTCGATGAGCGATTTGATTACTATACGTGTTGACAACAAGTGAAGAGAAATAAAAGTAACGCAACTCAGTACAAATAGTGAGTTGATGCATTTATTCCCACATACCTTGTATGATAATAATGACTGAACACTCCTGATGTTAAAAGGTTTGGCACGAGTTGACTTATAAACAAACTTAAGCCAACTGAGCAACTGGTACGCCTCATTTTGGAAAGTAAACGCAGCTTTTGCGAAAGGAACGAAGTTAGCTGTAACATCCTGCCACCGCGGAAAAGCATAATCCTAGGGATTACTTTAGCCGAATGCATTTTACTTCTGGGGATTTAGTCAAGTTCTTGATTACATCCTTACACTCATTAAGGAGACGCTCGAAACTTTCAGACAAAAGAACATTGTCTGGAGATGAAAAGTCAACGTCCGTGTCCTAAAATCAAGTGTTATATAAAATTACTACGGTAACCGTGTGCTGGAAACTAGCCGAAGAACACTCCATTACTTAATAAACAAAGAAGGCGCTCATGACACCTACAACTAATAAAGATTCAGTAAAAGCAAATATTAAATAGACACAATGTGTGAACAATCGATTTGCAAATTAATCTGCGCTTATATCCCCCTTACCTATGTTAACAAACTCTGTAAATTAAAACTTCAACTAAAATGCGTTAGAGTTTGATGCTCAATTATTAGATTTTCATCGCTACAAACCGTGATAAAGTATCTTAAAACTACGTTTTCCATTTGTACTCAATCTAAGGATAATATAAAGTGAAAATAAATAATCTTTTTGCTTAAGTTAATTCTCAAGTGCTCTGTATCAAAGGTCAGTGCCATTTATTATGACAAACCCTTAATACTTTTTTTGAACTTTTGGTCTTTGAAAAGAAATATTAATTACAGTTGGTGGCTTCATTTCATAGCTTTGGTGTTCAAATGGTTAAAAATTATCATCGTTTCAAAAACCATTTACTTTCAAATCACTTCTCTCCCATTTTCAATTTAAAATTCCGATCACTAACAACCCATTAATGCCATAAAAAATATGAGACATTCATTTTCTCTTAAGCACATTTGCTTAATAGTATTGATTTAAATATTTCTTCTACGATACTGGTTTTGCTAAAATACTATCTAAAATCCAACTAGCAGAAGACCTGAATAAATCTTCAATCGTCTCTGACCCTGATGTTCAACTATTCTTAGGATCTTACTGTTTAAGCTGATATAATTTACGGTTGATGAAACCTTACGGATTGTGGATATCATCCTTAGTGAGCCAAAGAATGTGTATACGTGTTGTGCCCGGTGGATTTTTTTAAACATTTTGGTTATTAAAAATCAACTCAAGTCAATTGTCGTAAGACCTTAGTGTTGTAGTTGATTACTAAAATGAATGGACATGCTCGGATTAGCCACAAAAAATAGAACTGCGAGAGTCTGCCGCAGCCTTACTCAAAATTTTATGTAATGTGGGAAACTCTTTACGCCTAATGTTTAGCATCTCCTAGGCTTTTAGACTACAATTTGATGTCATTTTCCCAATTCTGCATTATTCGCCTCCGTTTTAATGACTGCTCATAACCAATGCCAGGCGAAGACGGTAGATAAATGCGTACCCGCGACTGGGTGTTCTAAATTCCATCAAAATAGAAAATATTGATATGATTTGTTTAACAGAATCGACATATCTAGATTGGGTCGACAAAATTTCACACAGAACCTCAACTCACGAAAAATTTTACTTCGTTCTTCCTGTGGTGTGTATACCACATTCGCTATATTATTATTCAAGACTTGAAATGCCGTTTTCAATTTCTTAATGGCAACTAGTGTCTTGGGACTTATATTCTTTAGATTAATTTGGAAAGAAAATATTGTAATAAAATGCAGGTTTAAATATACGTATTTGTTCATCAAACCGCACAACATTATTTCTGATATTAAGTACCCCCATAGTGATGCTGTCAGGGGCTGTACAGCACCTGCGTTGGTGTTGTCTCAGGAAAAGTCAGTACTGTAGAATCTGAAAGCTTACATTTGAAGATGAAAATATTGGAAATGCTTCATGATGTCTTCGTTGTCATCATCTTGGACTAATAGGAAACCTAGTTTACGTAGAACTTGGACCATATGCTCGAGTCATGTTTTAGATATTCCGAGTAACTGGAGTCCATTTGCCGTTTAGACCATTAATTGTTTTTTTATTATTGCTTCTGTTAAACTCTAACTGTGAACACTGAATATAAGCCTAAAGAAACGGTCCGCTACCCTGTTTATACTTAATCTACGGAGATTAGCTTCAAGGTTTTTTTCATGATTGTCGTACTTCCTGGCACCTGGGAGCACCTTGACCAAATCCAACTGCAGAGTTGTTGGTAGCGATGTGGCATTTGGTCCGCGTCGCGTGTACCATGATGCATTGAGGTATTGAAATGTATTCCGTGGTGGTTATTTTGAGAATGTCTGTAGGCTTAATCACGAATCCCACAGACATAAATCCAAAACAACACCAATTTTGTATTTATGCATGGAGTTCCAGAAATGTCCTTCATTAGGGAGGGAGAGGGAAGGCGACCTGTGCTGTTTATTTGTGTTAAGAGTAAATTCACTGCGAATGATAAAGCAGTATTTTAACGAAGTATTGCATTAGCATAACGCAACCGCAGATTGCGCAAGCACCCAAATTAAGTTAACTTACCTTTTGATCAGTTTGCCCTTCTCTGAGTTAATAAAGAAGGTCAATTTTGCAAGCTAATGCGAACTGAAAAAAAATAGCGAGGTAAAAGTCCGCGAATTGCACCCTTTAGTTAATCGTATTGTAGAATTGAATTAGAGTTCCGCATTTGCCCTTAGGGGTAAAAGAAATGGTAGCACTCCTGACTACACAGTACCTTAACGACTGTCATTCGGTATTTGAGTAGGATGTCGATGAGTCCCAAATTCAAAGTTCAGGTTTTCGCAGAAGGACCAGAACACCTCCTGATAAACTGACAATATTTGATGTTTGATGGATGCGATGAATTATACTAGCAAGTTAAGCTCCAGAGGTTGTGCCGATGCTATGGTACCTTGTACCAATGATTTGTAGAATAAGTGATGCATGTGCGCAGTTTTGATGTAAAGTTTATTAGTTTCGAATAATCATGAATAATCATGGTTTTCAGCTAATCAAATATTTAAGACCTGGTTAGGGGTACCACAACCAATCTCTCGAGAGATGACATTTACCGATAAGGTGATGCTTTGGTCTCCGTGATTTCAGTAGCAATGTAAATAGAGTTACGCAGTCTTGGGGAAAGTTTAGCAGGTTATTGGCTTTTTATGAACTGTGGGTAAAACGCGTGAGGTCATTCATATTTTTCACCGTTCTGGGCATGAGTACATTCGCTTCTCGGGTTACGCTTCAAATTCCCTCTAAGAACGTCCCTGTAAATGACACGCACAGATTCGACCAAGCATTTCCTTATTTGAATAACATGACTCAATGCTGTTTGCAATGCCTACTGACTAAAAAAGCAAACAGGTTGTCAAGTGACCATGATACCTCAGTTCCAGATGACAAATTTTCCGCTGGTTTAGGGCGTCTTCCTTGTAGCTGAGCAGGCCGCAGTTAACAACCAAATCCATCTGCATCAAGCTTGTCCTCCCACCGTTAACAGTTTAATCGAATTTTGAGCTCCTAATACCATCAACAAACAAAACATGGGTTAATTATTTCCTACCATTATCGAACTTATCTGTATATTGAAGAAAACATGCTGTTACACAGTGAGGCGAGTTGGCGAGTGCACAAAGATTGACGAGAAACTAACTTGGTGGGCATTTGTGGAGCGATTTAACATGAAGATTTCAGAAGACCGAGGGCGATCAAAGCACACTCGTTTGTTGGGCCAAAAAGGTGTAGAGAATTATCCGCGCGTGAGTGAAGGCTGTTTTACTGACCTGAAGGTGTCAATGACTAATTCCTATTATATTGGCTGCTGTTATCAGTCGTATGTCATCCGCTTTCTCATCCACACACTACGACATTTGGCTGGTTTAACGGTTATACACGGTCATGTCCGCTGTCGCCTGTCTTGCCTCTCTTCTCGGACTTTTTAGGGACTGTTAACCAGAGGGGTGTAAGGCAGCACTATGATAAGATGTCACATCTTCTTAGTAAGCACGGTAATATACAAATGGGTGTGCATATACGTGAGGATGACAATGATGTTAAAATGAAGTACTTAGATTCGTTTGACGAGAAGGCGATCACAGGTGCCGGTTCGAACGTGTTGTTCCGAGAATTTTCGTCTGATAATTCCTGTTTTTCAACACCCAATCTTCGCTGAATTCTGATCATGTGCAACGGAGGCCGAAAATAAATCGAATTATTTATAATTTAGTAAAGGAGTATCGTAATTAACGAATGCTTCAAGTCAACGCACTCAGGCAACAGTTTTTAAGTCCCAATGATCTCTCATCATTCATAAGTATAAATCGTTTTCAACTACTTGAGTAACATCACGTCCGTAAGCGTTGTCCATTCGACATTTTTCACATTTATTTTCAGGTTAGTTTCCGACTGAAAAAAATTTTAGCATTCTATGATCAGTTTAGATGACAATATTACCCTCAGCCATTTATAACCGGAATGGTTGGTATCTACATCAGATTTGCTTTTTATGTTCATCGGAAATAAATTCAGTATCTCACTGAGTCTGCAAAGGGCTGAATTTCCTATGTTGGTGATGCCAAAATTGTGTGTGTGTGTGTGTGTGTGTGTGTGTAACTTCTTTGGAAACTAATGCAAAACATGTGAATTTGGAAATATATAAATAAAGTTATTACTCGGATCACCAATACTCAAAGTAAATTGGCATATCACTAGCAAACGAAGCAGATAGGGAAAGCAAAAATTGATATCACTGCGTACATGTGGCCTAGGCCCACATAAAATCTATAGCCCATGAAAGACCTAACGAGGCTGTGCTAAATGTTTTAGCAGAAATTACTAATGCTGACTCAGAATTTTGTGACTCTTGTATAACCTCTCTTCGAGGGGTTGTTTAACTTGGAAAAAAATTGAAGAGAATACGGTAATTTAAGTGCTAAAGACGCGCAAGAGCTTATATGGTCACTGTGCATGATAAACGACGATTACTTATGTTTCGAGATTGCTTCGCCTTCAGTGTTACACAGTAGGTGATTGCGCAACCAGCACTGCACACACAGATTAGCCAAAGTTTCTCTGTCAATGTCTACGTGCCTTAAGACAGCACCTTCTAAAAAAGTATTACCTGGCACTCAGTGACTAATAGTTATCGTCCAGAATCCCGTTAGTATTTTTACGACTCGATGCACGAAACTAAGTCACAGTGCATCTAACGTCAATTTTAGACTCAGTTTCTATGTACAACAGCACTCAAACAAAGCTTTGACTTGCCAAACAATCATTGGGCCTTTTTTAAAAAAAATTAAATTATGAATCAAATTATCAAGTAAAAAGTTGCATTCTCAGACTTTTCATCAATTTTAAAATTGGCGTTTGGGTTAAATTACCACTATTATCACAAGAGTGCAGTTGAGAAGCCTTGAGAAATTCGTGTGGATGAGCGTTAAAGTACTTTTTGTGCATTTTAGTGTGTGTTCGCCATCCACGTTGACAATCCAGCAAATTCCCCAAACAACCCACCAGAATCCACTGACACGCATCATGACACAGTCGCAAGACAGCCCGTTCGTTTACTTGCGAACGCTGGAGAAGTGAAATTTTGTTGTCAGATATTTTATGAACGTTAGTTTCTCTGTACATGATTTGCTGTGAAGCATGTGAATCCGGTGACGCAGCATCTGCTCTCTACACCTACACCCGCCTATCTGGTCTGGTAGGCGTAAGTTTGTAACGTCGACATTGCGTGACCTGACAGTTGGCTTCGTTTTAATAACCGTTTGGATTGGCGGTGATAAATAAATAAACATCGTTAACGGTGTTTATTAATACGGAGTTTGACTGCTTACCAGTACGTTTAAGCTGATGAAATCTTCGCAAGATTGAGAATATACGGATACTCATTAGTTAAAAGTCAGAATGCCCAAGTGACAAAACTCCCGAACCCTAGAAATCCCAGCAAAACGATGACATAGTTAACTTTTTTTTCAAAAAAAAGTTGAGGAATAGTTTTATATTTTACCTTAAAATGATAGCGATTGATTTTTTTCGAGGAATTGTTCGTAATGATCCGAATAACATTCTCAATTGCATTGAGATCTAGACTATAATGGGGGGTGGATAAGAATTTGACACCAGAAGTCCATAGTGCGTTATTTGCGTGGACACGATGAAGGATTGTTTGATGCCTTCGATTTATGAGGTAGCGATGAGCACAGATTGGACGTCCAATTGCTCCCAGTTCATAGAACGATTTTACGCTGATGACAATGAGGGCCAGTGTGGCCATACTGAATGACAATTCAGACGTTATGACCCTTTTAATCCTTACACTTGGTCACAGTTTTGGGCATTTTCGTCCAAAATGACATTTTGAGATCTTAGGGCCTGTGACCATAATCCCATCCTAATTAGAAAGTGGTTTCGGAAAGATATGCTATTTGATTCCATAGTCAAATGCAGTTTTAACTAACCCAACTGACCTTAACTACATATTTATTTCCGTGTACAAAGAGGTGTAGTAAGGATTTTCATCTAGGCAAAGCGGCTTACTCCTATAACTCGAGCACAATCCAACATAATTTTTCCATGTTACGTCGAGAACCAAACGAAATCCATTTCAAATAATTAGATTAGTAAGTAGAGATTTATCTACGAATGATATTCACACATTTCTTAGGCACACACACACACACACACACACACACACATGACGCTTTACAGAGTTAGTTTAGCCGTTATTTTCCACTACATTTCTCCCGAGTCAGAACAAGTTTTTGACTGGCCAAAGGACGATAAAACAGGATCTTATCATAAATGCATCCTCGCACCGAACGAAATGCCATAAGCAACGACGATAAGCTTCCCTTTTTCCCTGCAGTTGGTGCACAAGAAGGGGCGTTGCCCAACAAGGTAACGATAACTTGTGTGTGTACGCCTAGCAGAAAACCAGTAACGCCCCCACCGAATTAACGATAAGCTACAAAGTACTCCCAATAGCAAAATGTATTTTTGACTCAGTGTAGGCTTCCCCCACCCCGACAATAAACATGCTCACATGACTCATGACTGTTATTTACTGCCTGAGGATGGGTTGCACCGTATTTTGACTTATGGCTCCACATCCAACGTGGCCTGTTTTTCATCCGCTGTCTCCGTATGCTAATGCCTGGACCCGATAACTCAGCGTTATTTCATGTGCGAATAAGGGTATCCATCACCAGCCTCTGGTTTTGACCAATGGTCATCGTATACAACAACCGGAACCACGGGACACCCAAAATGTCTGTGTGATGTCAAGTTCCTCGGTCTGTGGTGGCCGAGTTTGCGAGTAAAAGAGATGGTACACGGCGACTGTATCACTTGTGTGCTAACATTGTTCGCTTTTTCGGCTCCACGAACGAAAATAGCTGATTTTGTTGGGTTTCCGAATTCGTTTGATTCACATCGTATCTCTTAATCGGTTCGCTACGCGTCCTAAAGCAGTACAGGCTAGAATCATCTGTGTGAATAAACGAACGACCCCTACGAAAGCAAGCGTGAAACTAAGATTATATCCTCCTTACTCTATTTAGGTGGTGCTTAACTAAAGAATTTAGCAAAACTATTCCCAGTTTCATTCGCATATTATTTTTGACGAAAGTTCTCCGTTTAATCTAGATAAACGTGGCCTAGTATATTTCTCCAAAAACTTTGCTCAGGACACACTCATCCAAATTAGATTAACATTGTGAAAAATTTGCGCTTTCAGACAAGTCTATGCCGCTAGCTTATTAACATTAAACACTCTGAAAAAAGAGTAGGCATTTGACGACGTAAACATCAATAGATCAGTACGTTTGAGGTTGCTTTCAAAGCACACAGCGAAGCAATTTCCTAGCAAGTCTTACTGTGGGGGTTGAGCCTAATTAGTTTTCCTCCTGATTACAGTTGTGCGGGGGCTGAGATGTGCGTTGGCAGCTCAGAGTGTGACTAGCACATTCAACGCCTGCCAGTAGCCCCCTGTAAGTATATTCATTTTCGATGGCGAAATGCATCAATTATGCGTAAAATCCTCGTTTGACAAAGGAGGACTTCGAAGACGCTGCTATGCGAAGCCAATATATGCTCTTGCCCGCAGTCCCATGACCCTTACACCGTAACCGATAGGTCCATTGGCTTTAGGTGACAACAAAGTTGGGTATGGGACTCCAGTCAGGCAACCTTAAGTAATCAACACCTCCTATGCCAACGCATCACCCTATTTTGATCGTCCAGCAATGGGGTTAGTTGAGTTTTGCTACTGTTGTCTTTAGAGAAGTTCAGACCGCAAACTCCTACTGTTGCGATAGGCTCCCGAATGCTCCACATTTGGTATCGCATAAATCCACGCATATACAATCCCATTGACCTTACGCCCACTTGATTTGCAATCGGTTTACAGCCACATTCCAAATTTGATTGGAAATTTTTAAAGTAAGGCGTTGGAGTATTATAATTCATAAATACTAAGCACTGAAATTAACAGCAAAAAAGAAGGTGCTGAACACCAGTCCTCTCAGCACTGTGCACACAAGTAGCTCAGCCAAAGGGCTAACTTTGCTGCTAAGCAACAGGTTATGTTTCTTGTAATCTATCCATGGTGAACAGCGCGTGAGTGCACGTCGAACCTGAGTTCGTTCCAACTTTTTAATTGCACAATTAGATCAACGCACTCGGGGGGGGGGGGAAGGCCAGAAATGGGAACAAAACGACCTAAGTGTGCTGAGTAATTAAACAAACAAAATGCGAATTAGTAATTGCACGCATCTTTCACGAGGAACTACCCATTACGTGCCCCATAAGTAGCCGGTATAAGCGACGCAACCTCGGGTCATGTTGGAGCCTTTCCACATGCTCTCCTGAACGCCACAGGCCGCACGAGCACCACTTGTTGTGAATCCCGTTTATTCACACCCCCTAATCTGGTCGTTCCACCTCCGACACAGGGTTACCCTTGTCGCAGGATGTCGCCAGCCGCGCGGATCCTCAACTCCTCCCTCATTCACACGGATATTTATCCTGGATTATCCTCAAACCTAGGTCTCGATGTTAGCTCATCGATGACTCACACGTTTTGGGTATAAGTAGACATGCGCAAACGCCACACACGACACCAACGTGGTTAAACTCGGAAGTAAACGGTTGTGTCTACGACCTCTCCGATCTTCCATTTCATCGCGGGTATCCGAAAGACGTAATCGGACCAGTGGCCCCGACAGTACACTCAACGACCACAGAAGTATATTGCTGACTTGTACAAGCAGTGACCCATAAGTGGGACTGCGAAATAAACCAGACTGAATGAGTGCCTAAGCATTGCGGTTTAAAACTCAGTTGCCTATTGGGCAATTGTTCACAGAAAAGGTGAAGTCACAAAAATTCACTTTTATATATATGTACATGCGCTAAAATACTATATCCGCTGAGAAGGACCAGGAATTATATGTACAGACTGACTGGACATTTTCATTACACAGAGTTCTGCTGCCGAGGGAGACTAAAACTTCACAAGAACAAATTTACAAGGTGGTTTTGAATACGCGGCCTCAGTTACGACGGTGTGGGCAATGACGATGATGATGATGATAGCGGTGGTGATTTTGGTAGGAACGGAGACACGCCGCGCACGAAGTCCGCATTGATTCGTTGCCACGCGCCTGGCTGCAGCAAGGTCACGCGGTGACGACCAATCACGACTGCGATCGATCGCCAGGCGGCGGTGCGTGATGCGCGCGTGACTGCGACAGCAGGACGTGCGTGCCCGAGCGCGCACGTGCGCGTAAAAGGCGTTCTCGTGGTTACTGAGGTGGTGGTGACCCGGCTTTAAACCTCGCTGCGGACGCAGATTGGACGGGGAGGCGTGGACATCATACAACAACTATAAGCATAAATGGCATTGCGCTCTGGGCCAGCGTCTGCTCCAGTTCCGGCGAGATTTGACGCAACTGAGTCGTAGCGAACTCGCACGGTGGGAATATGTGCATGACGAAAGGATTCTACAAGCGGAAAAAGGATACATGAAATAGGTGCACCATGTAGAATTAGTGAAAAGTGGGCCGCGCGGTGACGTTGTCAGGGTTGAAATTGCCACAACTACGCGCTTTTTGTTACTGTGGTTTTCGGGTAAAAGTGTAATTTAGAACCACGATTATTCAAGTAAGCCGAACCACGCTCTCTTAAAATTATTCCACGAAGGATGCTACACTTCCTCAAAGTGACAGGTGACAACGATGAGAATAGGCGTATTGGTTGCACCAGTGTTAGGCAAAACAGCTATTCGAACAACTGCAAATGCACACTATAAAGGCGACAACTTTCCCCGAGTGCTCGATACACCGTCATGTGTGGAGGTGCATAGAAAGTCTCAAAAAAATCAGTTTTGTAATCCCATTTGAAACTTCCAGGTCCATTACGAAACGACGAGACTCGCCACCCTGCTGGGATGCGTCGTGGGGACGCTGGGTAGATGTCTCGCTTCCGGAAACACAGCTGGCGGTACAGGAGTGCGACAGGAAGGCATGACAGGGCAATCGCAATGAAAAACTAGGAAATGCTTCAGTAATACGACCACAGCATTGAACAACTAGCGCTCTTTGTGAGCGACGTTCCCCTATATTGACCAACAAAATCCGAAGTTTGTACCGATGACGCGACAACGAAGTGGATGAGAAAGTAGGATTTGTGTAACACCAGCACATTCGCATTCACACATGACCGTACACCTACTTAAACAGACACGAACGAACGAAAGGGGGAGGGAATCAGCATAACTGGCGGGGTCAGTCCAACAAACGACAATTCACACATTTAATGGCTCCTGACAAATTGCCGATGGGGAGGAAGTGCGTGAATAGTTTAAAGATCTCCGGTGGACAATAAGGAGGGTCGGGGACAAAGCAGTGGGAGGGAAACAAGTGTGAACAGTGAAGGAGAAAGCAGACACTAAAAATAGCTAGTGAATAGAAACAGCAAAACTAGCTAGACAGAATCCACACCAAAGTGGTGTCCGCGTTACGACATTCAGTAGCGCCAGAAACAAATTGGAAGGTAACAATGGCAGAGAGCGAACACTACCAGGTTACAATATTCAGATTTGGATTTTTAAAGAGTTGGCGATTGGTGGCCTTGCATAAGATGTTCTCAGAAGGTTTTGTGATTACACATTACTAGACGTGAATGAACTACGCTTAGGTTTGACGAGGTGACTTCATCTCAACGCTTAATGTGTTGACTTTTATTCATTGCCCATGCTCTATTGGCTGTTAGAAACGCGCACATTTGATCACCGACACAGGCCCCAAAAGGCACTAGAAGGCCTGATCTTGCGGCGAAAGAAACAAGTCGGCAGTTACCTCTCCCATAATCTCACGCCCTGCCGTGACCCAATAAGTGGATGAATTTTCAGTTCAATGCGCGGTGCGGCTCAAACTATTCAAGATCGTAATAGGGGATACACTGCTTCTGACCGTGAAAGCCCAGACGGACAAACGGCTTGATTGTTTCAGTTATTTGGTCGGCGTGTCACTTGCTTTAAAAAAACAGATACAACCTCGTCCAACATTACCCATGAACTATGGAAAGGGTTGATATTGTAGCAGTGACAGGAGCGGGTTCATCGTCCCATTATCGATCAAACGACTTGGCGATAGGTGCGCCTACACGAGGTGCTCTCCTTGAGGTTGGTAAAAACTCTTTACATGTCTTAATTTGACTGTTTCTAATAATGGTTGTTTGGTCTTAACGCATCACGAATATCAAGCCTACGTAAATACAGACGCACAATGACACAAAAGGGACAGCGAGAGAATTAATGAACGAGCTTTTCCTGCTAATCTCGCACCCTAGCGTGCCGCAGAAATGCAAATAGACGTGGGACGTAAAAACCAAGGACACGTTCGCAAAACGCTCTGGTTGTTAGCGGCGAAAGAACGGAATAAAGCCGGCCACATGTTGTAATCTGTATATTTTAGACGTAAAAATCTCGCAAGAAACAAGCCATATCTTGCCAATCAAACATACCTCTTGAGGTGAAAAACAGCTAATGATACCAGCAGCAGTTTTCTCTTGCAGGTAGTTGATGAAGTTTTCCTGTAAAACCATGTTGTTCTGTGAGAAAAGGTTCTCCTGTAGGAACCCGGGAGAATTGACGGGGTTGTCGGCAGCGAGCGCCAGGCACATGCAATAGTTGGAGGGCTCCCTCAGTTTCCACTGCACCGCTTCCAGTTGGGAGCTCTCGAGACGCATCCGCTGGGCTATCCGCAGCACCACGGCCGTCTCGTCCCCGGCTCCGGCCAGAGACTGCAAGCAGGTGCGAATCAAATCACGATTGCCTGACAAGTAGAGCATCCGAACTGATACCTCGTCATTTTTCAACGTCATATAACCTGTCCACTGTAACGGAAGCTTCTACAATCACAAAAAATAGGCATGAATGAAAAGACAATGCACTGCTTCATTATACAAGGCCCTATTTTTAAACAAACGTTCATCATAAGAGACTGGCGTGTCTTGTCATCTATGCTAAGCCTATTAACGCTCACTAGAATACTGCTGCATGAATGTAGCTCATCTTAATTTTCAAAAAGATTGGACGCAGGGTCAACATACGTCTTCCAGGAACCGAGGATTCAGCCACCAGTAGCCCGGGGTTAGTGATGGTGGTGGAGAAAAGGACGCCTGGTTGACAGTTGTGACAGGAGGAGCAACCACTTCTGACGGAGACATGGCAGCCATAGCGGCCATGGTTGCAGCCGCGTAGAACTCAGCTGCCTTCCTTTGTGGCGGTGGTGGCGCCGGTGTTGTAGGTGAAGTACTGGAGGCGGAATCGACAGTGTCCACGACTGCCTGCGGCGCCTGGCTGAAGAGCGAAGAGAGGTAATTGTTTGCCAGGCGAACTGCGATCTCTTGCAATGGTGGCTGCGCCTGTGGAGATATCTGCTGGGCAGCTGCCTCGGTTTTAGTCGCGTTGGGAGTAACCAAAGTCAAAACATGCAGCGGGCTGAGGATGTTGGCGTTGAAAGGTGGCCGCTGGTTTGGCAATGTGGGTTCTACCGCTCCATTTTGCTGTGGTAACTGATGAGCTGTATGGTTGCTGGATGACGATTGTGAGACGAGAGAGGTCTCAGGTGACTGAAATGACACATAAATCGCCTTATCAAGCTGCCTTCAATTGAAGAGTTAACAATGACTTTTTTTTCATACTTTAAACTGCGAGACAGTGCTACGGCAATCCTAAAATTTGCTATCTGTTATTTCCTAATAATGTGATAAGCAGGAAATCGTTTAGTAAAAGTGGCGGGGAATTCGGATTTCATTTATTTCATTTTTCACAGGTCTGTGATCAAAATACACTCAAAGTGGGTACACATGTGAGTTGGAATCCCACACCCCCGCGTTAAACGGATGGCTGTTAGGTGCATTCTGACGACTGAGCCGCAATCCGAAACGGAGAAGGCAGTTTTGGCTGTTCCCACAAAACCGGATGCATGGAAATAGGCGACTTTCTTACAAACGGTCATGCTTTTCGGAGAGAATTTCAAGTTTATGATGTGAATAATTTGATTCTTTAGTAGGCATGCCACAAAAGTGAATACTCGTAAGCAGAGTGAAGCAAATGCTCATGTCAAATCAACCCATTCTGGTAACCTAGACCCAAATTACTGTTTAGACGCTACAAATGCAGCTGCATACAAGAAATACTAATTGTATTATGGCATGAGCTATTACGGCAAATAAATAATCACTTGATCAATTGACAGACGACAATTTAACCCACACGCCTCGCTCACAATTAAGTGTGATTAAGGCTTAAACGCGAGATCAAAAGACAAGCAAGATAACAGGCAACAATCACAAAACAAACTATTAGGGTTTTACCAAATATCTTGGTAAAACAATTTATCCTGTTTGCTAAGACGAACATAAAACGAAACATAGAACTGGAGGTGAGAAAAGGTGACCTTCTTACTGAGAACCATTACGGACGAATGGAAAGCTTACTTGTGCACAAGACTCAATTCTTTTTTACATAAAAAAATAATTCATTACTATTACTATTATTACCAGTATGTGAGCTGACTGTTGGCCTCTTGACAGGAACCTGATATCCTCGGATGATTCCAACGCAGTAGAGGGAATCTGTGGAGCAGGAGCGATATTTAGTGGTTGTTGCTGGAAAGGAGTCGATGTTCGCTGCGGTTGAGACTGCTTCACATTAGATGCAGAATTAAGCCTAGGTCGAATAGGAGCCAAATCACTTCCACAACTACTCGCAATGGACGCCGGGCTGTGGGAAGGAAGGATCATGGTCCCATTTACTAGACGCTGCACATACTCGTCCTCTTCAAAATCGCCATGAACCACAGAATTAATCACTTCATCCACAGTGTCTTTGGCTGAGACCTGCAGTGTTTCGACAACTTCGTGCTCATCAAAGTTTGGTTCGTAAGGGTCTCCAGAAGATGAAGGGGATGGTCCGACTTGTGGGGCCTTTGGCAAGAACATGGCAGGCTGGGGAGTCAAAGGAACATTCGTCGTTCCCATTGGAGCGGGTGGACTTGCCTGCTGGACCGACTTTTTGGTTCGTTTTACCTTTTCTCTACTTTGCATGTTTTCCTCATCCTGTTCTTGCTTTACGCGCTCGATTATATGCTGGACGTACTCTGTTAAGTTCGACGAAGAATTGGCAACGGCAATCGCTTGTTGGTGATCAGGTGACTGCGAAACTTGCGTCCGATTTAATGCAATCGGTTTATTGTCCGACGCGACAGTAACTGGAGAAACAAGTGAGAAGGTTGGCGGTGCCAAAACAAAAGCAGGTTGTGTCGCAGAAAATGACGCATCATAATCAGCTGAAGAGGTGGCTGTGGTTGTGGTGGCGGCATTGATGACCAGTGCGATATGCTGTTGATTTGCGGCGGAGGTTGGTAAGACAGAAACAGGAGTTAGGAGAGCGACGGATTGTGCAGGTGTTTGTGCCTGTGGAGGAAAAGGAATGACAGGTTTCTGGAGCTCTTCTGCTTCCTGCTTTATGGCCTCCGCCTCCGCGGCAGATGAAAGTAAGGCAAGACCAGATTCGTCAAAATCGACCTCCTCTGACTTCACGGGCTTCACTAAAGGGGATGTGACAATCAGGCCACCACTGCCTAAGCGAGCCGGCTTAACATCCAACTCTTCAGGTGCCAGCGGCGGACCGTCCTTCAGTGCACGTTCTTCTGACTTGAATTCGTCAGTTACCGGTAGTTCTGGAGGTGGCGAAGCACAGATTTCCGCATCCGGGACTTCTCCATCCTCTATGTCACTAACAATTTGTTTTTCCAGGAGAGGTAGTTCGTCAGTCGTAGCCTCTTCGGGCTCGTCAGCGGTGTGGTCATCGTGAGTAGTCGGACTACACGACCTGCTAATTCGAGGAGTTGATGTCGCAATTGAAGAAACTGAGGGCGTTGAGGGGCGTGGAGCAGGAAAAAATGTCCGCGGTTTATCTCCTGCAGACGGAGAATGATCGGGATCACTAGCACCGTCAGTTGAGGAAAAAGAAGCAAGAACTTCACGAACAAGTCGACGCTTCACTGCAGACTTCTTAGGTTTGCTCGAAGTGCCTGTTAAAGCCCCTCTAGACTCTCCGCCATTTCGACGTCTTTTTAAAAGCGACAAAACCCTCTTACGCTTTTTTGGTGCAACTTCAATGTCAGAACGAAGATCCGACTCGGAGCTAGAACCACCTTCGCTATCAGGCCGCTTTAATCGCGACTTTTTAACTGATTTTGCAGAACTAGTATGTTCAGGTGATTCAGGTGTAAGAAGTGGCGGCTTCTTGTTCCCTCGCCTCCCATTCAATTCATTTTGAGCTGAATGTGCAGCAACTTTCGAAGACGTTTCAATATCTGGATTTTGCTTGGATTCTTGACAAACTGGCTCCCTCTTATTCGCCCCTTTGTGCTGCCTCGACTTAAGCAAGGACTTTAGAGCCTCGGGTTTGGCTTCTGGACGCTCGTTTGCAGCATCCTTGTTGCCCCTTCTTTTAATCTTATCATACATCGTTTCGTATAGCACCCCCTCAGTAAGCATATCGTCAACCATGACCGACTCATTCGTGAGATTTTGGGGTTTCCAGTCATCTTCATCACTCGCTTGCTTCCTCCGTTTTAGACGTTTTTTCTTTGTGCCCGAATCATTCTTCGAACGTGAGCGATCCTCGGTAGTAGTCGACGATGACTTTAATGGATTTGATATCGACTTTGACGTAGGAATCGGGACTTTTCGGTCAACTGAGGAATTTGGCTTGGATAGCTTTTTAAAATGAATTTTACCGCGGTCAAATTGAGTTGAGGGGGAGGATAGTGATGGCTTCATGGACTGTTCAACCTCCACCAGAGGGATTTCTCGCACTTTCTTTGGTTTTGAGGAAAGAGAATTGGACTGTTGTGATGTTTTCTCTAGTAACTTCGTTTCAGATGCTACTTTGGACAACATTGAATAGTGACCATCGTTAGCGCTTGTCCTTGTTTCATCATTTTGTTTTGACTTTGTTGCTGACATCGCCGTCCTCGGGGACTTCGGGGGGTGCGGAAAAGTTGTGGTAGATAGCTTTCGCTTAGTACAAGCAGGCCCAACTGTTACGTGCGACTTGGTGGAGGATGGAGACAATGCGGAAAGGATTGGTTCTTTGTCGACTGCTACCGCTGACGGTTGCGGTAGATGGGTTTTCTTCTTGATTAGCTGCATCTGCTGCGTGGCTTGTGGAGAAAATAAATCCTTCATTTGCACACAGCTTTGTGGTTCCTTTAGCCGCTGAGTTGATTTGCATGTCGAAGAAGTCGGCACTGCTAAATTATCTTTCCTTAAAATTGGCTTAATTGCTGGCGAATTTAGTGTTTTCTCGCTATTTTTACCCGGCGAACGTGACAAGCTGCAACTAACTACAGGAGAGGGCGACAGTGTTGAAGAACCTTCAACAGAAGCCCCATTCACCGATGTTGAACACCGCGGATCCACAACAGACGATTTCAAGCGACACAATGGTTCAACTTTCACTTTTTCTCTGCCAATGCAGGTGGGCGAAGAAGTATGATGAGGGGAACGTATAATGGGACTCAAAAGCGTGGGTTTCTCTGCAAGAGGTGGTGGTATACCAAGGTTACAGACTGAGGAAACGATAGAGTCCATGGAGGAAATTTTCGACGAAGAAGTAATTGACGAGGATGGTCTACTGGAAGATAGCATACTCTTAACAAATTCCGACGTATCAGTAGGTCTCAATCCTGGAGACGTAATAGAAATGGCAACGTCAGGCGACGTTGGACTCGTCAATAGTCGCATGGGAGATAGTTTTACGTCTGAGAGAACCACAGGAGCCGCAATTGCAGCAGTAACTTGAGACGACGAGGACGGGGTGCTCGTCGTTGTGTTCAAATCACTTTTCCGGCGGATACGAAATTTACTATAGTCCACAGTGGATCGAATTTTCTCCGAGTGCAACAACTTCGCATCAAGCCGTCGAATCCGCTCCTCGAGTGAAGAGTCGATTGCAGCAGAGGCAACATCCGCCTGTTCAGAGTCCGAATCTTGAGACAATTTACGAGTGAGTGGAGCCATTTTCGGCGAGGGGGAAATATGTAAATCAGACGGTTTGGTGGCAAATGGCGGAGCAGAGATCGGCAGGATCCGGGGATCACGATAGGGAACAGGGGAACGGCTTTTGGGGACAAGGAGTGGAAAATCTGATTCTATTGTTGTAGACTGCGTGTCCCATGGAGGAGGAGAAGCGATTGACTCAAGCGAAGAGACATGAAGAGGAGAGCTAGGTGGACCTGGTGATGATGCAGACACTACCGAAAGTCGGAGAGGTGGTGGAGGGGGTGGAGGTGGCGGAGGTGGCGGAGGTGGTGGTTGCTGCGGTGGAGATGACCGATCCGAGGCAGTTAGAGGACCACCAATAGTAGGAGAAAACATGACGTCACCAGGGTCGCTGCTACTACTTTGGCCTGCACTGCCTGAGCTGCCTGATGCGCCGAAGTCCCTTGAGGCGTTCGTGGAAATACTATTGACCCGAACAGGTTGTGACTCCGACAAGGGCAAATCCCGCATCGAACTCCCATTTGTCCTGTAATTAAGAAGGGCAATGACTAATTTCGAAATGGGTAAATAAAACAATTAACCAGACTGCAACGCTAAGATATAGCACTGGCTAGAACCCGGAAAGTTTAAATTGGCACAGAAAATAATTGTCAGCTCGCAGATTTCTTCTTAAGCAGTTAAAAGGATTAAAAATTTATAAAAGAAACCAGAGTAGTGAACTGTTATTTTAAAAATGCAGTGCACTACTTAAAAGTACACCAATGTACCTGTGGGATTTACAAGCTAGATAAACTAAGACACAAGGGAACTGCCATTGGATAACGTACTTCAAAGAGCAATTGCAAAAATACAAAAGTTGATTTCTGGAAGTACATGAAGCTTACAGAAGGGAGACAGTGAAATTTAGTTTTGTACATGTTTCAATATTAATACCGAAAAACAAGTTCCAATTAGTTCAAAGCCAGACAAACTGCATCTTTAAAAATAGGCACAAAACAAGTTGTGGTCGTATGCAGAAATGGTGTGAAGATTGAAGCACTTATTTAATTAACAATCAGACTCACCCGTTACACTGGGGTTGTTCAGAGGACACGGGGATCGGAGTTTCGGGTCGACACTTTGTTTGTAGCATGGACAACTTCATTAACAATTCCATCCTCTCCTGCTGTAACTTTGTCAGGGTTTCGTTGTTCGATGAGCATGTGGAAATGACCGATGTCTTGTTGCGCTGTTCAGAGGAACGTGGCATGCTAACAATCCCTTTGCCTTTATTTCCATGCTTGGTGGTATTGCGACTACGATCTCGATATTCGTTGCTTCCATCACCAGATTTTGACTGGCATTGCTCAGGAGTCGAGACCGTTGAATCCCTTAAATGTCGACGACTAGAATCGCCTTGGGGCGATGATGGATCGTCCCGATGGCGATGATTTTCAACGCTGGTGTGGTGAGAGGACTTTTTTTTGCTTGACGTCCTTCGGTAACGTTCTGAACTCTGTTTGTGTGAACGAGACTCCTTTTTGTCAGGCTTGCGCTCAACGGAAGAGGACTCGCTGCAGGTTGATGCATCGTAATGACATCTTCTGTTGGAACACGGCTGTTGTCTGTGCGGACTAATATCTTCATTGTTACATCCCAATGAATTGTGGTAGGGTCCTCCACCATTTGACATGCGAGAACAATCAAGGGACGAAGAGAGAGGTGCCACAGACTTTCGACACTGAGAATATCTCGAACGATCGTAACGACTGGGTGCAGTAGCCCTGGGTGAGTCCCCAACACATGAATGGTGCTTATATGTGGATAATCCAACAAGTCCTGACAGCATACCACCACATCCACGAAAGCTGGATCCTGGTAAGTTAGTATAATCCCTTGGAGGTGAGGTTCGTGCAAATAAAGGTCCACGACCTGGAGAATCAGCACGAGAATTTGAGTGGTGTGACGATCGAAAGTATCCATATTTGCAGGAACGCGACGATTCAGATAATCCAATTAGGGAAGCTAAATCCTTAGTTCTTCTGTTATAAATACTTTGAGATCTACAATAAAGGTAATGAAGAAGAGGTTGATAATGAGTAAATGATAATTTGAAGCGAATACCGACAACATACCCGCGATTTTCATCTATACATGACATCAGGCCTCCACAAGGCAAATAGGCATCAACAATTTCCCGTAACTTGTCCCTACATTAAAGGATATTAAAGGTAAAGACTTGAAGCATACCTATACTTTCCGTAGAAATTATTGAAGGTCCCAAACTTCGCCATAAATGCGACTTGGCATTCCAAGGTGGCGTAGTCAATCTGGACTTTCCTTCCAAGTAACGAGCGGTTACGCGTTTCATTTAGGGCTCTTTGTGCTGCCTCAACAGTATCGAAGTACAAAAGTGCACGACATAGTTTAGAATCAACGACAGCATCTTTCAAACGTCCGTATCGCCCAAACTGTCGCAGTAAGTAGGTTTCAGTGACGTTTGGAGCAAGATTATCTAACCATACGACATTTGAAGGCTGACTTTTGCCAAAACCAAGTTTGACGGGCTTTCCGGAAATCAATATGCTTTCCTGATCACCAAGCGCCCTCACAACGCTCTTGATATCAGTGTACTGGACGAACGCATATGAAGTTCCAGGTTGATTAGTTTGGGTCTTTATATCGATTTCCTACGAAAATATACATTGTCAAAGTTATAAAGCAAATCCTACAATTATATCACCATACGCCTGAAAAACCCGCTGCAACTCATCCTGGGTAATCGTTGATGAACATAAATTTCCCACAAAAAGGGTCTTGGTCGCTTTGGGGTGATATTCATCCATGGCATGCTCAGGGGGACATAAATCCGGATCCTCAATATCTACTACCATAAGATAAATTAAATAGATCTTACCAAGGCCGTCAACAAGCTCAGCATGAACTGAAACACCAAAGAAAACCTTGCCCTTGGAATGTTCGTAAGCCTTTTCGGCATCTTCGCAGAGTTTGAAGGTGATGTGGGCTGACCGATTCGACCCTGAACCCTTGATGACGAGTGAGGTAATTTTCCCGTGCTTTTTGTATTCATGAAACAAGCCTTCACGCAAATTCGTATCCGAGGACCTAAGTGGTAACTGAGTAATCTTTAACCCCCGAAGGCCCTCCTGTCTACGAGTTCCGCGAGCATCACGGTGTGAATGGCGGTCCTGTGAGCTGTGGGACTTCCGGTGATCACGTCTAAGGGGGGAACAACTAAAATATTCTCGATTAATAAAAATGCCTACCTCTTTTTTTCATACAAATTTTGCGGAGACGAGCTGTTTGAGCTATACGGAGTCGAAGAAGTGCTGTCTGTGTCAATCTCACCAGCAAGACTTTTTGAATCTGAGGGAGAATCAGACCTGAGTCTGATTTTGATGAGGTTGAAACACAGTCTTACCGCTGATCAGACTTTTGAAAACTTCCAGATTTTTGCGAAGAAGACGTATTACACGGAAGACCAGAAGACTCGCAGTATTGTAGTTTAAGACTAGTTTTGCGTAGCTTTAAGGAGCAGTCGAAGGCCTTGGTCGCTGATTTCGTGTCCACAAATGTGACGAGGGCCCCGTAACATTGCCCATCATCAATTATCCTGATATTCTGAATTTTTCCTTGGCTGGAAACAAGAAGATAATCCACATAAAATGAATCCATAGGGTCATGAAGACAATTAGGGTTCCAGATCAGTGAAAACTGCCACGTCATTTACCTGTTTAAAAGGCTGTGTATTTCCTCCTCGGTAGCAGATAATGGTAAATTGCTAATCCAAACGTAGCGAGTTGCTCTCATACCTGTTTGTCAATGTAATCTGAGGGATTTATTCGCATCCTACAAAAAAGCAACCGCAAGCTGAGTAAAGCAGACGGCAGAGACGAATGACCAGAGGCTGCGTGTGGCTTAATGCCCGACAGTCACCCAACGCCTGCCAGAAAATGCGAGCGACGTGATTGGTTACAGGGGGCAATCGATCGCTACGCCGTGGTTGCACTATGTGATTGACCAATCAGCGCACAACGACATTCTGCGCTTAATTCGCGCTTGCGAGAAAGCGAGGACATTGATTAAGTGTTTGAATGAGCGTGTTTCGCTCCGACTTATGCTCTCAGAACGCCTTTTGCAACGGTCTGTTGCTAGGTTTATTTGGAAAGACCACAATATGCAAAGTTTTCAAGTTTCTGCAGAATGAAGGCAAATAATAAGTCATAACATGTTTCAAACACACCGCTTTGGAATAATCTCAATTTGGATTACGCTTGCAATATGGGAAATGTGCCAAGGCACTTGATTTCGTTGTGGATTGTTTTTGTGACTAAACCAAGGATCTACGTACTGTATAACGGGATATATGTTGAGGCTTTCGTCGCATTTTCCTGTGGATTATACTTCACGAAAATACGGGTCAGTCGTATTCACTGAGGAGTGACGCCCTGTCAATTATTTTGATTGTTGTTGATGTGATGCATAACATTTGCCAGCCGACTAATTGGTTTAGTTTGGGGTACGCAGGACTCACAATGCTTTGAGATGCATAAAATTCGACTGAATGTTGATGGGAATACTTTAGGCTTGCCATGTGTTGGTTGTGAAATCTTCCCACAAATCGCACGTTTTTGGGCCTGGTCTTTTCGCTTTTACGGACAAGGAAGGTGTTGTGGTGCGTAGATCAGTCTTTCCGTCAAATATCATCGTATTTTCCGGAGGTTCTACTTTTCTGTCAAATATGCAGCGTTATTCTGATCGACATATAACAGTTCCGATGTTAAAATTGACTGTGATTTCGGTGCCGTCCCAAAAATTGGCATTTTTGGCTACCACTTTCGGGTAAATCGAATGATGGGGATCTCTCCATACCCTGAATGCAACATTTTTTGTGTAAACAATAAAATGAGAATATTTGTCCCAATCCTTTGCTGTGGTGTTGGTAACGTTCGCATTGCTTTTATCCTCTACGCTTGGAGTGTGTAACTGGAAGAATGGTGGCTCCTCGATATGGAGCGTGCTAATTTACCGCGTCCTCGATAAATTCGTGCCTTCTGTTGGGACATTGAAAGTTCTTAAACGAAGATCGTGTAAATCAGGAAGCCAAATTCTGAGAGCCTTATACTATATCAGGGAGTTTTTGTCAGAGGATTCCTTTAAAAAACACAAATTTCGAGTTAAACTGTTGGTGATTGCGCACTACCTCTTCAGTATTTGCCTACCCTGGTCGTCCATTCACTTACATCTTAGCAGAGTACATTTTGGTCGGTTTGCTGCAGTCATGTGACCGAAGGACGGATTCCGAAGTATGCCCGCGCGCATCAACCACGTCTGGTATAGACGGCGTGAGACATGCTTCCCGCGCGTGGCGTGACGACCCAAACGACCTTGGACCTTTCACATTCAGATTGGTGGAAATTGCAGAACCTGTCCTTTTAATGAATCGCGATTGTGAATTTATGCCGTCATATGTAGGCACGCATGTCAAAGTATACCTCTGTAGAAAGCAATAGGCGTGGTGAAGCACGTCTCAGGGTAACACTACACGCTGCTTTGAGTTTCACCCCAGCCTTTAAGCGGGTGACTGATCGTATGTACTTTGTTTTGCTCAAGGATATTCACTAGATCATAAGAACAATCTATGAAACCGTCACCTTACGGTTGCCTAATTTCACAATGGTGAAAAGATAATAGTCAATAAACGTGTAGGACGATTTGGTTTTGAAGAACTGGGTTTGATGCCTTTCCTACCGCACTACCAGGCAAGTATTGCATTCCAATTCGTGCCTTGTTATTTGAACTCAGACACCACGAACAGAAATGGACAGCTTTGCCGCTATAAGAGGTTGATGGCAGGGAATTGGGCATTTTGGAGTGATAGCCTCTAATCGTGTCCGAGCTTCAGGGGCACTGACATGGATGCCTGTGATCTAGCCACAAGTCCGTCATTGAGTCGTCAAATTTTGATGTGCCTGCTCAACTCCATTCTTCGCCCATGACCACGTTAGAGTCCGCGAATTCATTGGCTTGTCACACAAATTAAAGTCACCGATGGGTTCTTGGAATTTGTCATTTTGTCGGTGGTTTTGGAGTCACGGATAACCACAGCATGACCTAATCCTCCGAAGGTTACTGGACAAACGGTGTTTGACGCATCAATTTTATTCTGCTTGCTCAGCTTACCAGGAGAGTATTCTATGTTCCTCGAAATGTAACTGAGATATGAAAGTGGTATTTTCCCGAATATCCCCTAGAATGGTCTCTCCGCCAATCACTTGACACCTTTAGTGCCTTCATTATTCTTTAACATTGTGATATCCTAGTCGAATATTCAGATCGCCCTTTGAGCGTTGCGATAATTAAGGACGCCTCACCCCACGTTAACTGATCCCACACACGACACAGCTTACAGAGCCGTGCGTGTTGAATGTGATGTCTGGCCACGCGCGTGTGTGCAACCGTGCTGGCAATGAGTCATTCACGCCGGCTAAAATCGGTGACTCAGCCGTCGCCGGAGCGGCAAACGCGTGTTCGTGCGCGTCGACTTTTGGCTCCGGGAAATCATCGCGACCTTGGTCACACAGAGCAGCTACGCTTTCGATGATACGAGAATATTTGTCACTTTAAAACAAAACCAAACATTGAGGTCAAAGCAGGCGCATTCAGTGCGCTGGTTAGCATGACCTAGGTGTCTCCACGAATTTAATTACTCTTATCTATTAGTTTTATTGGCTTCCCTATCTCATAGTCCACATCAAAAGCCGTAAAACCTAATACGCCCTTCTGGTGGTCTCAATAACGTGAAACAGAATCATTCAATTTTATTAGTGGCTAATGTTGCACGTAAGCTAGCCTTCAGTTATAACTCAGTGTTGCTTTACATCGAATAAAATATCATACCGGGGATAAGGAATGAGGAGGCCTGGAAATCGACCACTTTAAGTACTTTAGGAAGTCTTCTCGTCTTGGCAAGTACAACTGCATTTACACAGGCTGTAGTCATGCCCATTTGACGGGCGGAAATTTCGACGAGTTGCTGCCTTACTCTGTTGTCCCGAGTTCTGTTAACGAAATTATACAACAATGGCTTGCGAAGACTTCGGTAGCTATTGTCACAGTTCGTGCATGTACTTGCCAGGGATTTTAGCCGCACACACAACGGCTTTCAGGTTGATACAGCTAGAATGTTATGTGGGTGTGTAGTGCTCAGTGAACGTCAGTCAACGCCTTTTTTTATTTTAACGCCGATCTGCCAGTCACTCTGTCAGTCAATAATTTCCTTGTTGTTTAGTAGCCTTAATTGGTTGGTGCATCGTCCTAGTTATGTTTGAGCTTAGAATTTTTTATTGGATTCTGGTTTAGTTCCAATGATTAAGTTATTACTGCAATGAGTTTGCCTTCGATAGGTTGTACCGTAAGTAGTAGCCTAAGTTTACGTCAAAAACTCTTGACCATATTGTCGACACACTACGGAGCCTTGGTCACGAGCCCGCAACCCCTCAGGAGATATAATTTGACATTTGACGAGGTTGTGAACGAGGCCTCAACCATCTGTCGGGGAATTTCTGTATCTGATTTCATGCCTCCTAAGACCTCTTGACCCAGTTTCTTCAAATGCCACACCAGGGAGTCTACCGAGAGGCAGAAGGGCAGCTAAACTTGTGATTTTGCTAACTCCACGTCGACAGCTAACACTGATTGGCTTGCTTTGGTGTCAGACGATTGTCGCATTTCACCTCAATCAGCCACACGTGTTCTTTGCAGTACGTGTTTGGGCTATTGTGGGTCGCCCACTTGTCCACCACCGCAAAACTAGATTCTTCGCGCTTTGTACATCCCGCGAAACTTAAATCAGCTGCTGATTTCTAAGCAGCGTGGCAACGTTTTTACCTCACCACTAAGTAGAAATCAAGGCTACACCAACTTCCCAGGTTCATTGGTTTGTCCGATACACACATATTGCTTAAAGATGGCTTAGAATGCATTATGGATAATCATCCACTAAGTTTTCCCATGCTTATGCACAGAATTCGTTGACAACTAAATGTGACTTACATTTTCATGCGGTAATTTAACGGACATTAGACGAATTGAATGGACCCTAGTCACCATTAAATAGTTTTATCCAAAATAATAACCCCAAGGCTTCGCTTCTCGGTGACATTTTGCATGTTTACCGGTCGTATTCTTATTAAACGACTAATTTTTCTCGATTAATGTTAAGCTGAAGTCAGGTAAATGTGATGAACCGTAATGCTCTCGCAGATAATGCACCTAGGACCTTGTCCATCTTAGATCTAGTTTGCTAACATTCAGACATATTTAGTCTGTTGTGGCTTGATAAACGTGACGTACACAGAACGTTGGCAACGGCTGCTAAGCTGTTTATTGGGTCGTCTCGGCAATTGTCATGCTTCGTGACTGTTCGTGTGTATTTACGGCTCAAGGGCGTGATCAGTACGGAGTCGGCGTGCTAGGTACGGGGTTCGTGCGTGTGCGTGAGTGTCTACAGCCGGGAATCCGAGGTGAGAATAAACATGAAGTCTGGTCTTGTGTGAATCGTGGCATCAGTCGAGATACACCACAGCACTAATCATAGCAAAAAGATTCGCTGTACCCTTTCTTCCAACAAGTTAACTGAAGGTTTGGTCACATATGTAACTTTGGTGACTGAT